GCCTCATGTACCTGATGACTTGCACACGACCTGACCTCTCGTACCCTCTCAGCCTTCTGGCTCGCTACGTGGCTCCCGGTAGGCACCGAAAGGTGCACTGGGATGCTGCAAAGAGGGTACTGCGTTACCTGTGCAGTACGTCGGGCATGGGGCTTGTGCTTGGAGGACGGGGTCCAGTTGTCCTCACTGGTCACGCAGATGCTTCCTGGGTTGACGACTCAGCTACGCAGCGGTCGTCGCAGGGTTACACCTTCAGCCTTGGGTCCGGCTCGGTTTCTTGGCGGTCTACCCGCTCGTCCTCAGTTCTCAGCTCCAGCTGTGAGGCTGATATCTACGCCGGAGCCATGGCTGCTCAGGAGCTACGCTGGCTCACCTACTTGCTGACCGACTTGGGAGAGCAGCCTCGTTCACCTCCAGTCCTGTACGTAGACAACAATGCCATGATAGCCTGTGTTTGCTTGTGTTTGCTTGTGTTTGCTTGTGTTTGCTTGTGTTTGCTTGTGTTTGCTTGTGTTTGCTTGTGTTTGCTTGTGTTTGCTTGTTTGCTTGTGTTTGCTTGTGTTTGCTTGTGTTTGCTTGTGTTTGCTTGTTTGCTTGTGTTTGCTTGTCTTTGCTTGTTTGCTTGTGTTTGCTTGTTTGCTTGTGTTTGCTTGTTTGCTTGTGATTGCTTGTGTTTGCTTGTGTTTGCTTGTGTTTGCTTGTGTTTGCTTGTGTTTGCTTGTGTTTGCTTGTGTTTGCTTGTGTTTGCTTGTGTTTGCTTGTTTGCTTGTGTTTGCTTGTGTTTGCTTGTGTTTGCTTGATTTCTTGTGTTTGCTTGTGTTTGCTTGTGTTTGCTTGTGTTTGCTTGTGTTTGCTTGTTTGCTTGTGTTTGCTTGTGTTTGTTTGTGTTTGCTTGTGTTTGCTTGTGTTTGCTTGTGTTTGCTTGTGTTTGCTTGTGTTTGCTTGTGTTTGCTTGTGTTTGCTTGTGTTTGCTTGTGTTTGCTTGTGTTTGCTTGTGTTTGCTTGTGTTTGCTTGTGTTTGCTTGTGTTTGCTTGTGTTTGCTTGTGTTTGCTTGTGTTTGCTTGTGTTTGCTTGTGATTGCTTGTTTGCTTGTGTTTGCTTGTGTTGCGTGCATGCACATACACATGAGTGCGAGTGTGTACATGCATGTGTGGCGCATGCGTGGGTACCTGTGTCAAGTGCGTACGGGTGCTGCTGTGTCTGGTCCGACTTTCCTTTCTTTGACACGTAAGCATGAGTCACAAGGCAGGTTCCACACATCATCATGACTTTCTTGCTTTCCTTCACCAAATCTTATAAAGCTTCACGCACTGTCATCATTCCCTTTCCTTCACTTTGCCTCCTCCAATGGTGTAAAAGTGTGATGAGACGTCTCAACGCCATATCACCCCCCTCTCTCATTCCGCTTCACCCCCTTTCCCAACCCCCTCCTCCCCTCTCCAATCCCTGTTGCAGCACCTACCGCCCTCCCAACCGCTCCCCTCGGAGGGCCTTAGGGAACGCCCTCTCACCTTTGTGCGCCCCCTCGCCCCGCTTGCTGCCAGCTGTAAGCATATCACCTACTTCCACATGTTGCTAATCTAAATTACTTGACTTGTGCATGTGCCTGACTCCTTCCACTCCCTCTCTCCTTCTAATAGTTGTTTTCTTTCTCCCTTGAATCCCTCCTGCTTCTTCCTCTCCTTTCTTCCTAAATTTTCTCCAACTCATCCTCCTAATTGCTTTCTTCCAACTCATATGTCGTTCTCTTTGCTGCCCCACCCTGCTTCCCCGCTGCCTCTTCTCTGCAACTGCTTCAGCTGCGCTGTTCATTGCTCAGAGGAGGGTCTTGAATCTGGACCTTCATGAGGGTGAGGAGGGAGGACGAGGATTTTTTTTTAGTCGACCCAAATGTGTTCTCGTTGCCCCTCCCCATTTCCCCTCTGTTTTTCCTCTGCAGATGCCCGGGTCCTTGCTGTGGTGTTTGGGGCTCAGCGGAGGCTGTTGGTACTGGACCTTGAGGAGGAGGAAGAGGAGGTTTGAGTCGACTCAAAAAGTTCTCGTTACTGTCCTGGCCCCCACCCCATTTCCCCCCTGCTCCCCCTCTCCAGCTGCTCGTGGCTTGGCTGCAGTGTTTTGGGCTCAGCGGAGGGTGTTGGTACTGGACCTTGAGGAGGAGGAGGAAGAGGAGGAGGAGGAGGAGGATGAGGAAGAAGGGGAGGAGAATGAGGAGGATGGGGGAGAGGACAACGAGGAAGGAGAGGAAGGCAAGGGGCTGAAGAGTGAGGATGAAACTGGTTTTTGTTGAGCCTGGCGTTGGCACTAGGGGAGTTTGAGGTTGAGGGTGGAAGAGGAGCGGGGGGGAAGGGAAGCAGAAGAGGAGCTTGATGGTTTGTGGTATTTGGAGAGAGGAGGGGCAAAGGGGGGTTTGTGCATGACGATACAAAGTATGGGATTTAAAATTCTGCTGTTTTGTTTTCTGCTGACTTGCAGCAGAACTGCCGGGCAATGCAAGGCTCACATCACACATTGGATCAGTATTTTATTTTTTATGTCATAGTGGGGCTTGATTGGGAATTAGTGTACTAGTCCCAATCAAGCCGCCCCTTTCTGAGGCGGCAACTGTTGACCGGCACCTGAGGTTGATTCTCCAAGATCGTCCCTCCGCTCAACACAGTCACGCACTTGTCCATGCCAAAAATGCCTCGAGATTTGATGTCTCGTGTCCATTGGGTTCTTGTGATCGTTCCCCCGAATCGCGCCGTAGTTGGTCCCAAATTTCCAATGCCAAGAAACAGAAGTTTCAATTCACAGGTGGTGCCAGCCAATTGCCTGACCGACACCCAATCAAACCGACCAAACAGCTGTTTCAGACTTTCCGTTTGACCGCTTTGCAATACGCACTGTACACATATTCTACAGAACAATTTGACAGGGAAGCTGGCTGTGATTCCACGCCCATTGTTAAGAAGTGGAATGACAGCGTCGGAAACTTTTTATGTGTACTATTAAATATGTTTTTTTGTATCTTATCTTCGTTCTGTACATCGCCTGTCATTCACGTGCTTGATTGCACTGCACACATTCCAATGTGTTTGCATTGGAATGGAACATCGCCACTGCCAAACACCATCCTTGGTTGAAACAACTGCATCCTTCCCTGGCGAAACCTGGCGCCGCAACTTACGCCGAACGTCCATACAGTGCCTTCACTCCTCCCCTCCCCCCCACCACAGCCCAGGTCTCAACTCAACTCAATCCCTGGCACCCCCCTTAGTTTCCTCGGGACGATTCCCAAGAATGCGTTTTCAACTTTTCGTCCAAAATCTTGACTGTCAGATGTTTTGCTTGAGTTTCGAACTTTTGGCTGAAACAGGACTCCTGCTTGGAGTCTTGGTTGTCTGAAATTTCGACCGTCTCGACCGTCCCGACCGTCGATGCTTCGTTTGAGCTCCAAACAGGAGTCTTGCTTCAGCCAAAACCATCATCCCAGTCGCCTTTGGTTTCTGCAGCCGTCGGTTACCTTATTTTTCTGTTTTTCGTTTTCCTCAGTTACGTCTAAGCTCTTCTTTCAGCGTGAAAGTCAAGCGCCAGTCGCAGTCAAGCGGTACCATGATCTGTCGTCTTGTCAGATACAAAAACAGCCATAGGCAGAAAAAATCTGGGCTCGCATCGCCACCTGCGCAGCATATTGTAACACCAATAGGCCGGCTGCTGCGCTGCCTGATGTCTGTTGCCTGAAGGCGAGGCATGCTGCCTGCCTGATGAGTTCAGTTTTGAGACGTCTCAAAGCTTGCCTGAAGACGGGGCATGCTGCTGCCTGCCTGATGAGTACAGTTACCGTCTAACGACAACGCCGCTCTCAGATGCTCGAGTCGATGAGGCTGCGTCCCAGCGCCCCCTTTCCAGTCCAGACACGAGAGGCAGGAATCTCGCGTTGACCCACCAGGTTCAGAGTACTGAGATGTCTCTAAACTAGGTTCAGAGTACCGAGTAAGAGATTTTTGAGTCGACTCAAAAATCGTCTCACCAGGTTCAGATTACTGAGTAGGAGTGCGCTAGAGCCAGTTTGACGTCCGCAAGCAGTCATTACGGTCACTACGGTAGTGAAGTCGCCGTCGCTTATCCACAAGCCTGACGAGTCCAGCTCGCAGGTTCGACTCGGAGCAGAAACAAGTTTTATGTACTGTACTCATCTGCATGCGTTCTTGTTATCGTTCTGGGGCCCTCAGTGAGGGACGCGTAATCTCCAGTAGTACTTGTTAAAGTACTCCCGTCCGAGTCGTGAAAACTACGCGCCCGCCATTGCCAGCGGGCCGTAGGCAGCAGCAACAGCAGCAGAAAGGACAGTTTCTGTAACAAGTGCTCTGCGTTTCGCGAATCTTTTGGTTTCCCCGACAAGATTGAAGCCATGAAACGGCTATTAAGAACAAGTGCTCTGCGTCGAGCAATCATCATCTCGTCCCCTCGTCGCCTGTTTCGATCTCCCTCTCGCATCCCCGTCCCTTCCAACTCCCACTTCCTCCTCCTCCTCCTACTCTCTGTCAACCTCACACCATCATGGTCATTAGCCTTGCTAGCTTCGCGGTCCTCCTCGGCAGAATCTGGGGATGCGCTCAGCGCGCCCCAACTTGACGCGGCTCGGGGAAAGATTTCGTCCTCGGCAAAATCTGGGGACGCGCTCGGTGCGTCCCGACTTGACGCGATTCGTAGAAAGATTCCCCTCTCGGCAGAATCTAGGGAAGATGTCAGCGCGGTTCTGCCTGCGGAGGGCGGCGCGTTGGGGGAGGAAAAAGGAGGTGAGAACGAGATACGTCAGCTTAACAGCCTGGAGCAGCAGCCGTCGCCGACACGTCAGCAGCGTGACAGCTGGCGGAGGTTGCAACTGACACGTCAGGATGAATCCACGCGGAGACGACTACAGACGATGCCAAGTCAGCAGCATCGGAGGGAACTTGTGGACATGCCACGTCAGCAACACCGGAGGCGTCTTGCATCATATATGATGCATGAGGGACACATGGACAGGCGGAGGCGGTTGATTCGGGGCAAGAAGTCATGCTGGAGCAAGCACGAGCGACACCAGTACTGGCAGGTCGGTTTTAACCGTTTTTTCGCGGTGGAGGATAGACTGAGTGCGAGTGCAACTGAAGCGGATGATCCGCCTCCCATCAAGCGTCATGCCCCCCCTCTCTCGCCTTGCCTTGCCTTGTGTTGGTGGCCTGACAGGCAGGAGCGCACGTGGAGCCATCTGCGGCGTTTATGCGGCAGAAGACGGAGTATGAGCGCATGCACCAGCGATGCACGGAGGGCATCACTGACTGGAAGGCCTTTTACTTCAACCAGTGAGTGCTGCGGTGCGGACGCTGCAGCAAGAGATAGTGCTATGGGTGGTTGCTACAGTGAGTGATGCGCGCTTTCTACAGCCTGGAATGCGCGTGCTACAACATGGGAGGCAGAAGACGGAGTTTGAGCGCATGCACCAGCGATGCACGGAGGGAATCACTGACTGGAAGGCCTTCTACTTCAACCAGTGAGTGCTGCTGCCGCTGCCGAGTGTGATGGGTTCTTGCTGCACACATCCTGCACCCCGTGTGCTACCATACAACCTGAGCGGCAGAAGACGGAGTATGAGCGCATGCACCAGCAGTGCACGGAGGGCATCTCGGACTGGAAGGCCTTCTAATTCAACCAGTGAGTGCTATGGATGCTTCAGGGAGAGTGTGATGTGTGCTACCATACAACCCTTCCCCGCCTCACCCTGTCCCGTGCGTTTCCTCACCAGGTCCGAGGGGCTGTAAACAGCAGCGGATGTGGAAGGGTGCAGATTCAGAGTAATTCAGAGTCTTGAGTCGACTCACAAGGTTACCTGAGCCCCTCATCGCCTGTTCTCCTTCCTCCTCGTACCCATCCGTTACCCTGCCCGTGTGCTGCTTTACCAGGTCCGAGGGGCTGTCACCATCAGCGGATGTGGAAGGGTGCAAGTATGCGTTTCTGATTCCCGGCCAGTGGCACGGTGAGTGAGTGGGCTGCTGTTCTGTGATGTTTTATGGGTGGGTGCGTGCAAGTATGGTGAAGCAATCTGCTTCCATTCCACCCTCTTGCACGACAGCCACACCGCACTAGGCGGATAATGCCTACCTAGTTAGTGTAGGCGCCAACGCCATATCCCCTTCTCTTTTTGAGGCGCCTAGAAACTATCTGCCACCCATTCGCACAACACCCGCACCACACTTGGTGATCCCTCATCATGAATTTGACGTCCACATTCATTTTGTTTTTCTCGTATCCCAAGCGTCATTTCAGATCTGGGCAACCGCATCATGTCGTTGGTCTCCACCTTCACATACGCCTTCATCACGCATCGAGCCATCCTCATGCCCTCCCTCCCTCCTCTACCCCACCACCATCCCTCCTCTATGGCCTCATGCCTGCCCTCCCTCCCCTGCGCCTTCACCCCCTGCAGATCTGGGCAACCGCCTCATGTGGTTGGTCTCCACCTTCACATACGCCTTTATAACGCTCTAACCTGCTCTGCACCTCTCTACCCCCACCGTCCCTGCCGTCCCTGCCGTCCCTGCCGTCCCTGCCGTCCCTGCAGGCCTGGGCAACCGCATCATGTCGCTGATATCCACCTTCACATACGCCTTCATCACGCATCGAGCCATCCTCATGCCAGACGATGGCCTCATGCCCTCCCTGCTTTGCAACCCCTTCGCCCACTCCTCCTGGCTCATCCCCGCCTCCCACTTCTGGTGAGCGCCAGCTTTTTCTGTCTATCCCGGTGAAAGCCCCATTCTTGTCAGAGCGCCCCACTTGCATTTTCCTGCTGGCCTCTCCTTGGCAACTGCAACCCCTTGGCTTAGCCCACTCCTCCTCCTGGCTGCATCTCCCGCTTTTCCCCAACCCCCCTTTCCCCCACGTCCCCATTTTCCCTGTCCCACAACCCCCCACAGGCAGCATCAAGGCGGACCTAGAGAAGGGCCCTCGCAACACAGCGGGTAGCCTCAACCCACACTCTTCACCCCATTGCTTTCCCTCCTTTCCCTCCCCCTCCACTCCCCACAGGAGCATAAAGGCGGACATAGAGAAGGGCCCTCGCAACCTGGCAAAGCAGGCGGACAAGCACTCTCGAGGGGCGCCCCTTGCATCTCTTCTCTTTTCCCCATTTCAACAATCTCCATCCCTCAACCCGAACCCCCTTCCAGGAGCATTAAGGCGGACATAGAGAAGGGCCCTCGCAACCTGGCAGAGCAGGCGGACAGGCACTCTCGAGGGGTGTTCTGCCACCTGGACTGGGTGTGAGTGTAACGAGCGGGATGGGTGGGTATGGGAGGTTATGGGTGGGTATAGGTGGGTATGGGTGGGTGTTGAGTTTTGAGTCAACTCCAAAGGCGCTCCCGAGGGGTGTTCTGCCACCTGGAATGGGTATTGATTGAGTGTAACGAGCGGGATAGATGGGTGGGTGTTTGCAGGAGTTTTTGAACAGTCATTGTTGTTTGTTTGCGGGCACCATCCTGATGCCGCTTTGCATGCCCTGTGTGCCCTGGCCTCTCTCTCCGTCCCGCTCAGAACGCCCGAGGAGGAGTGGACGTTCTTTTGCCGGCGCACACAGGAGGAGGTGGCGGAGAAACCCTTCATGATGTTCTGGAGTGACATGTACTTCGTCCCTCCGCTCTACTTCGTGCCCTCCCTCGCGGTACTGCCTGCTCCCTAAGTGCCGCTCTGCTCCCAAAGTGCCGCTCTGCTCCCTTAAAGCCTTGGCTTCGTAGCGAGCACTTTCCAGATCGAATCATCGTTCCTTCATGCCGCTCTGCTGCCTATTGCAGGCTCGTCTGGAGGTGCTGTTTCCAGATCGCCGGGTCTTTACACACGTTGCACGGTGAGTAGCTAGGTTTGTGGCCGTGGGTGTGTGTATTTGAGTCAACTACCTGTAGACTGGATCATGCGGGCTTTTGAGGCGCCTCAAAAGTTGTCTCTGTACCCGCAATTTCGTTTTTGAGTCAACTACCTGTACACCGGATCCCGCTGGTCTTCCATGCCCACTCACTCTCTCCATCCCTCCCCTCCTCCCTGTCCTCTCTCTCCTCCCCTCCAACCCCCCTGCAATCACCCCACCAGCTACATTCTCCTGCCGGCCAACTACCTCTGGGATCGCATTGTGAGGGCCTTCCACGGCCACATGGAACATCAGGACGTGCTTGTGGGCTTGCAGGTGAGCGCAGGGCCCTTACTGGTGAGTGCGGTGCGGGTGGTACCTGGTGCGTGGGATCGCATTGTGAGGGCCTTCCACGGCCACATGAAGCATTAAGACGTGCTGTGGGCTTGCAGGTGAGGGGATGGTCACTCAATGGCGTAGGTGCTTGCTGGTGGAGGTGGCTTCTAAAGCTGGCAAAAAGCTGAAATGGACCACACTGTGAGGCTCACCTGCAAGCCAAGTCCTTGCACGTTTCCTCTCTGCCTGCTAATCGTCGTCAGATCCTCTTTTTTTCTGCCCGACTGCCGGCTCTCCCGCCGTTCTGCCCGCCCGCCCGCCCAATCAGGTGCGCCCAGTAGACGAGACCCAGGAGGACATCTTTGTCCGCGTGCTGACGTGTCTCATCAGCACGCAGTACCTGCCAGCTGTCATCCCGCCCGACCAATGGCAGGCCATGGCTGACGATGTATGTCTGGGTGCATGGGGAGGGGTGCATGGGGAGGGGTGCATGGGGAGAGGTGCATGGAGAGAGGTGCATGGAGAGAGGTGCATGGCGTGCGTGGGGTGCATTGGGTGCATGCATGGGGTGCATGGGGCGGGTCAAGGGAAGGGAACGGGGTACCCCTTCATCTCGTCAAATGCATTCAACTTCAAGGTCAATGGTCTGTGTCATCAGCCTTTTCGTGTCATCAGCCTTTTCGTGTAACACCTGTTCTACCCGCACTGTTGCTGGAACACGAGGAGGCAAGGGCACTATGCACCTCATCAGCCTTTTCTCTTGGCATCTTTTAATGGCTCTTAACGACTCTTAATGACTCTTAATGCCTCGTAACGGCTCTTAATCGCTTGTCTCGTCAGCATATGGCTCTCGCCTCGTGTGTTAAACCCCTCTCATGTGCCCCGGTTCTCTTGCCGTGACAGGTGGACGACGAGGGGTTGAGAGGGGCGCACGGGCAGTCAATCGGTGTGTTCGTGGCATCTCTAAATGGCACCTATGGTGCTCGCCTAGCCGCCCTCTACTCTCAAGGCAAACCGCAATCAGCGCACACTGTGACGTTTCACAGGTGTGTGAAATATATGCCTCTTGTTTTGAGATGTCTCAAAACTCTCTCGCAATGGCTCCTATGCATCTCGCTTTGCCGCCCTCTACTCGCAAGGCAAACCGCAATCAGCACACTCTGTGAAATGTATGCTTTAATTTGAGTGTTGTAGGCAAACCGCAATCAGCAGCACAAATTGTCACCTTCTTGTATCACACGTGTGCTTCTCGCTGCTCCATCCTTGTTCCAAACCTTGCTTAGTAGGCAATCCGCACGCAGCTAAGCCTCTCTCCTCATCTCTCTCCCTCTACCTCTCCCCTCCTCTCCCCCACCCCCTCCCCTGCAGCGAGTCTCATGACTCAACGGAGAGGCAGGAGGACAGGCAGCAGTACGCATCAGCGCTGGTCGAGATGTTTCTCCTCTCCTTCTCTCACCGCCTCGTTGTCTCCGACTACTCCACCTTCGGGTAGGTCCTGTTGCCGTGCTGTCCTGCTGCTGCGCTTTCTTGTTCCAGGCGCCTAGTGTAGTAGTCTGCACTGGTTGAGATGCTCCTCCTCTCCTCTCCTTCTCTCACTGCCTCGTTGTCTCCGACTACTCCACCTTCGGGTATGCCGTCGCCGCTCTGCGCTTTGCACCGCTGCTGTGTTTTTTGCCCCACCCGTGTGCGTTTTGCACCGCCGCTGTGTTTTTTGCCCCACATGTGTGCGTTTTGCCCCACTGCTGTGCGTTTTGAACCACCGCACCACACGGATTGCTTCCCAGGTGCCTCAGAAATAGTAAATCCTTTTCTTCCTGCCTCATAAACTTGTCCCCTCCTTGTTCCCCTGCTGCAGGTACACGGCGGCAGCACTGGGAGCGCTGGATCCATGGTCGCTCAACATTGTGAAGCGTGGGGAGGCGGACTGGCGCCGCAACAACCGCCCCGTCTGCCAGCGCACTGAGTCACAGCCGTGCTCCCTCTCCATCCGCCCTAAGTTCACAGTGAGACAAAAGCTCCTTTCTTTCTCTCTCCCCTGTGGTTGTGGTCTTTCCGTCCGACCATAGCTTATGGTGATCTATGTTGGATTCACCTGTGGGAATCCTTGAAAATTGCTCCCTCTACACCCGCCCGAAGTTTATGGTGCGGCCTTCCTCTGTCTTTCGCTCATTCTCATTAGGTGCCACCCTGTGCCCCAGTACCCTGATGGTAAATCGCACCCGGCAGAGAGCTAAGCGCTCTAGAGAAGCATGCCATGCGCACTGTTCCATGCTAACACCTCCCGCCCTTGCCCCCATGCTGCCCACCTGTGCCCCAGTGCCCTGACGGCGACTCACACACGACGGAGAGCGAAGTGTCATTCGTGCGGTCGTGCCCTGTGATCGGTGCCGGGCTTCATTTGGAGCTGCCTTCTCTACCCGACTCCTCGTGAAGCATGCCACTGCCAACTGCTTTTAGGACTAATCTAAGAGCTGCCTCCGCCACCCGAATCCGCGTGAAGCAGACTGCCTACTGCCCTTGTTTCATCAAATCACTCTTGAGAATTTTCAAAGGAGTTTCGCCTGCAGCAACTGCCCCGACCGCGTAAAACGGCGGGGAAGGGAATCGGCTGCTGCTTTCTTGGATCACCTTTGAGAATTCTCAGAAGTGCTTCGCACTTGGAGCTGCAAACAAGCAGTGTGATGGGCTGTTGTGTGCTGCTGTGTGCCTGTACCTTGCCAACCTACAAACAACCCAACCTACCACCTACCTGTATGTATGCTACATATATGTGCAACTAGCATTATCGTATGAAACCAAGTTCCAACCTTCCAATCACTCATCATGAGCTTAACATTGTATACTCAACTCATATCCGTAGGCACCAGTTCTGGATAACCAAACCAACATTGCATGGACACAATGGTCGCGTGTGCAAGATTGCGTTTTCTTTCTTCCAGTCTCCAGATCTGGAAGTGAATAAAACAACACCCTCACCTATCCCCGTTTCGGTGCGAATCAGGATTGCACTACAAAGCACACACTAAACGACCCTATCATACATGGTATGGTACAACCTGCCATGCAGCCTTTTAGTATCTGGCTGGAAAGAAGGCCTCGCGAATCCCTGCAGCTAGTCCGTCCCATCTCGTGGCATGCAGAAGAGGACTGCACCGCGCTGAACCCATTCCATTCCAGTCACTGCTGACTTTTGAGCCGGCGCATAGGTCTTCTGGTGGCATACGCAAGAGTGCACTGTACTGTACTGTACTGCACTGTGTGCCCAGACTCATTTAAGAACACCAGGCTCAACTCTTCTTTCAAAGTTGCCAAGAGCTGCCTCAAAGCATTCCACACACATCTTCTCCCTCTCGTTCTGACCGTTTATGTGTTGACTGGAAACCTGGAGAGGGATTCTTGAGAATTCCAAGAAACCTTTCTTGAGAATCCCAAAAAATCCTTCTGTACAAAGTAGGGACCGCGCACCTTTCGAGCTAACTACAACTCCCTTGTCCTTTCCCACGCACCCCTCCCCCTTACTTTTCTCATTCACCCCTCCTCAAACCCCGCTCCAGCTGTCATTCTTCTTCTTCTCCCCCTCCTCTTCCCCTCCTTGGCATCGCCTCAGCGCCCTCTTCGCTAGAACCTGCTCGTCCTGCTAAACAAGTGCACCCTCTTTCCCACGCACCCCTCCTAATCCGTCTCAATCACCCCTCCTCAAGCCCCGCTTCAGCTGTTTGTCATTCTTCTTCTCACCCTCCTCTTCCTCCCCCTGGCATCGCCTCAGCGCCCTCTTCGCCAGAACCTGCTCGTCCTGCCAATCTAGCGCCGCCAGGTTTGCAACCGTGTCATTGCGGTGGAATCTGAGCCCTTCATCTGTGAACACTGCATCTCCATGCCGCTCTGTGAAGCACTGCTCTGCAGCATCCGAGCCTGCATCAGAATACATGGAACCTTCACCTGCCATTTCTGCCGTTCCTTTCTCTGCCTCTGCCTCTGTAGCAGTGGCTGTAGCAGTGGCAGCAGTAGTGGCAGCAGTGGAGGCGACAGCGGTGTCAACGATGGTGCCTGTAGTCGCACCGGTGCTTTGGTTGTTGCATCGACCAGAATCCACAACAGTGCTTTCCCCACTCAGGACTCCACTGCTGCACCTCTCATCGCTACTCACTCTGTTGCTGTTGCTGTTGCTGCTGCTGTTTCTGCTGCTGTTGCTGCTGTTACTATTCCTCCTGATGCCGCTGCCACTGCTGCTGCTAATTCGGTGAATTTCAACCAGGGGGTCAAAAACCACAGGGACAATGCTGCTGCTGCTGCTGCTGCTGCTGCTGATGTCCTTTAAAGCTTCTTGGGAAGAACATGCCACATTGACCTCTGCTCTAGTTGAACCAGTCAAACCAGTCAAACCAGACAAACCATTTGCTGCAGCCTTCGTTGCCAAGCACTGCCCACCCTCTCCTGCCCCGACGGCTTCTCCCGAACCAGGACATGGCAGGTTCGGGATCAGGTTCGGCAGAGAGGTTCGGAGGAAGAGCACCACGGCTGTGCAGTCGTCTCGCCGAGCCTTGGGATACTTGGTCGCCCAGGCCTCCTGCGCTGAGGTCACCAGGCGTTCCGCTGATGTGGCAGGGGATGGTGACGTGGCAACGATAGAGACAGCCTCCTCGTGAGAGAGTACATCCCACACCTGGCATGGTGGGTGGGGTGGTGGTACAATGGAGAGACGTGTTGAGCAACTGCAGGTCAAGGAGAGGGATAGGGATAGAAAATGGAAAATGGAAAATGGAGGGCACTGGATCTATAATGGAGTGACATTGACAAAAAAAACGTCCGTCAGGAAAATCGTTCGTACCCCGTCGGTCGCCAGAATGACGAATTCGTCCCCATCTTCCACTGGTAACACGGTAACATCAGGCTCGCAGGACACTCCGAATCCCTTCAGCAGGAAATCTCCCACCGCCCGGGAGGTGACCAGCCCTGGCGCCATCTCATTGGGCAGCCAGATCCTCATGATGTGCTTCTCGTCCTCTAGCGCCTCCACTCTGCCACCCGCTTTCCTGATCCGGGCGGCCTCTGTTGGATCGGAGCACTTGTGTTCGGCAGTCAGGGCGACGGCCTCGAAAGCGTGACAGCTGACAGGAGCCTGACAGCTGGGTTGATCTGATTGGTGGTGCTGGTGCTGGGTTGGACCGGTTGCGATGGTTCCGGCTGCCTTGGCTGACGTGGCAGCATGACAGGGAGCCACGTCAGCAGCTGACGTGGCGTTGCAGGAAGCAGGCGAGTGTGCTCGTCTGGCGAGCACGGCGCGGGAATCCCCGAGGTTGGCAAGAAAGAGATGGTCGTGCTGACAGGGGGGAAAAGGGGGGGGTGGGGGGTAGAGAGAGAAGGGCGGGGTGAGGAGGAGAGAGGGGAAGAGATGAGAAGGAGAGAGTGAAGACCGGGTGAGGTGGTGGAATGAAGAGCGGAAGAAAAGAATGATGAAAGCATGATGACGGCGAGTGCAAGGGCGACTCACTTGAACCATCGCCACTACCGCTGTGCTGCCACTGACGAGCGGATCAACGGCCGGATGCAGCTTCACCTCGCGATCAACGGCCTCAAACGCGCCGCGCACGGCCTCCCTCCACTGCTGCTCCGCCACGTGTGCAACCCCCACTGATCCATCATCACCACACAACGATGCGTCATCACACGGCGATGTGGCGTCAGCACCATTGGTGTGCGGGAAGAGGCGCTGGGAGAGCTGAGAGGGGAGGGAGTCCCTCACGCGTGCCGACACTGTGTGGCCGAAGCGGCCATGGCCGTCCATCGCGGCGCACAGCACGGAGGCAGGTCCCGCGAAGGACTGCAGGTGGGAGTGGGATGGGAGGGAAGGGGGACCGGGAGGAGAAGGGAAAGGAGAGACTTGAGAGGCGCCTTGAAAGAAACGGCCATGGCCGTTCATGACGGCGCACATCACGGAGGCAGGGCCCGCGAAGGACTGCCAAGGGAGGAAGGGAGGGGATGGGGGAATGGGAAGGTAAGGAAGGGAAGGGGGGATGGTCAGATGAGCGCGAGAATGAAAGAGGAAAGAAGGCGCGGGTGGAAGAGGGGGAAGAAGGGGAAGTGAGGGGATCTCCGGGAAGGAAGAGCGAGAGAGAAAAGGGAAGGCAGAGATGGATGAAGGGTGTGCACCTGCCATGCAACCATGGCGTCTTGGTTGATGCCTTTCTGTCCGCCCAGAGAGAACATGCTGCAGTTCAGCTGCATCCCACCACCGCAGGCGCCACCGCCGCCGCCGCTGCTGGTGGTACTACTGCTGTCGCTGCTGCTGTCAGTGCTGCTGCTGCTGCTTCCGGTGCAGTTTTCGCCGCTAGAAAAGTCCGTGTCCAACGTGGCACGCGGCACGAACCCGTTCTCCGTGCCCCGATTGGTCAGCCGTGCCAGCTGGCCGTCCCGCTGCTGCTCCGCCGCCAGATAAGCCGCCACGCGCCGCTCCTTCTCCTTGCTGCTCACCGCGTCGCCCCCTCCTCTACTTTGCAGCTCGCCCTTCCTCCGCGCCTCACGGCGTCGCTCGCGCGCAGCGATGCGACAGTTGTCGTCGTCGTTGACGGACGAAAAGCAGTTACCCATTGCGCTGGTTTTGGCGAGCTTTAACGATGGAGGTGCGACGTTTCTAAGTTCGGGAGAGTTGTCGTCGGCAACCCCAAGGTACCGAGGATCGGCGGAATGCGATGAGATAAGAATTGCAGCGGAATGACGACGTGAGGAGAACGGTGATAAAACTTCGGCAGGGGTCAAGCGGATACGGTTTCGAGAATGCTTAAAAATCTCTCGCCAGGACCGAAACTGCGATGAGATTGAGAGGAAATCGTACTGACAACACGAGGGGTGTGGCAAAAGGAGGGATTATGTCACGAACTTTGCAGCACTCTTCGCGAAGCGGATGCAGGGTTTGGCTTTCAGAATTCCAGATAACTGAGCACTATTGGTAGACGGGCTGAACTGTTACTAAAAGTTCCTGCGAGGCTGACTGCACCTGTTACAACTGCTCAATGCAACTGTTTCTAGCAGAGACTGGCTGCCTTGTATGTAAGACTGGCAAGCAACTATGTAGCGCAAGGCTTCCAAGCCAAAGCCATCCACTTGTGTGCCGCACTGTAGCCAAAGCCAAAGACAGTAGGCAAGGAGGAAGGAAGCTGGACATGATTGAAGGGGAGAAGTGGGCACCGAAAATGATATCGCAGGAAACGGACCGGAAGCAGCCGTCCTTGTTGTCGCGGCGCGGCTCCTATATGAGGCCCAAAAAGTTGTACACACGGTCCGCGGTATTTTCACACCCTCCAATTTTACACCCCTGTGTATTCGTTCCTGAATTACCCAGAAATTGAGGGTTGTTTAGAACAGTCTGGCTTTAAGGAATTAACGATTCAGACTCCGCTTAAGAGTCAGCGGGAAAATAAAAACATGGTCGCAGCAGAAGATCCAGACTTTACGTTGCGGTCACAAAGTCACGCTTTCAAAACATCGACACTTACCATGCCACGGATAGCCTCTAGTTCCTGGGGTGTCTGATCCCCAAAGCCAAAAAAATGTTCAAATGGGCTTTAAGAGAAACTGACGGGGTGTGAAATTGGCGCGGGCTATGTGTAAAGATTTCGAGGTCAATGTGAGAACGAGAGGGTAAGGCAATTAGGGAGATGAAAGGGTCCAGGAATGTGGCGACTGGTGGTGGATGTGGCGATTAACGACTGCTGGGAACGCGGAAGGACAGCTAACACGTGGTCAGGTCACAGAGGTCAGGCGGTGCGGCTACAGTGAATGGCGGATTCATCGGTCAGGAATAAGAACAGCTCCTGCAACACACCGTGGGCTCGCGATTAGAATTCGTGGGGAGGATGATTGGAGGACGACGTTCGATTGCGAACGTACATTCAGCATTCGCGAATTACTCAAGTGGCAGCGAAATCAAACCCCCAACAGGTTTGGGCCCTGCGCCCTTGGCCGTGGACAGGGTACACTTCGTGCGCCGTAAGTTCTGGGCCACTGCCTTGGGGGTGGGCTGTGTGGGCGGTAAAGTGTGCGGAGCTGTGTTCTGTGAGTGGTGGCGTGGTTTGTGGGGTGTCAGGAGGGGGGGGGTCTGTCTGGGCCGTGGGTTCGCTTGGCTGTGGACCGTGTGGGCAGGAGCCGCTGCGAGAACTGAAGAGGCAGCATGGCGATCTCAAGGGCTGGATTCGCTACTGTGCTGCTTTCGCCAATGCTTATCGTCCAATCGCCTCGGCGCCCGCCACCTGCAACTGGTAACAAGTGTCTGTTGGTGCTGTGTTGGGTGCAGGGTCTGTGGTCAGGATGAGAAGGCTGCCTGAACCGACGCCGTAACGGCGATCTACCTATGGTGCAGTCAGAACCCTGAACGCGGTATAAGCTTTAGGTTTTGGTTTAACATATCTTGAGGACCATATTTCTTCATGGAATCTCTATTGTCAGCCTTGTTTATGATCATTAATATTTTTTTCCGCCAAAATCTCATATAAAGTTTATATCGATGATTTTTTTAACCGATGAAATTGATATAAATAAATGAAATAGCAGGGGTGATACGAAAGCAACAAAAAAAAGCATTGATGATGTGGTAGTTCTTCAACGCAGTAGTTCTCCCCATTGATAGGAACCGTGATCTGCAACCAATAGAGCGCACTGAAGCCTTAGTATTAGGGGACCTGCTCAAGAAACAGTCCCTCATCAACTGCTATCGTCACAAATTTCCTGACGAGCTCATGTTCTCCTTCTCCTCCCTGAGACGTGCCAACTCTCCCAACTCTGCACCCTCCTCCTCCCGCCTAGGCAGGACTTACGTCTCTGACCAATGGGCGGGTCGCATCCACCACGCCTCATATGTCTCTGTTCCTCCAATCATCTCCGACCACAACCGAGGACCGCTCGTGGTTCTCCGTTTTTGGAACCCACACATGGCTCCCAGACCCTGGCGTCTTCCGCATAAGCTAATCTCCAAACCCTTCGTCTGCTCCTTAGAGGAACAGTCCACGCAGAAGCTCCAGCCTGGATTCACCATCGAAGATTGGGATAAATGGAAGCTGCAACTCTGCCGTCAACTGCAATTGTACAGCGAGGAAGAAAAGTTTCGGGTGAGGAAGACCACGAAATTTATGTGTGACGAGGTGTGCAACCTACAACTTCACCTTCTCAAGAATCCGTCCGACCAACAGGGTGCTAATCGTTTAGCCCTCCTCTCTGCCAGCTTGGAAGCATATGAGCTCTCACGGGCCTCGGAAATCGCGCTTAAATCGAAGCTCAAGGTAGAAGGCTCGAGGGAAATGTGTGTCTCCTCCCTGCTAGTAGGCCTTCAAGGAGGTATTAAGGATTCCCTCATACCTCAGCTCAAGCTTCCCTTCGGTGAGACTATCACAAATTTGCAAGCCATGTCCACTCACTGCACCGACTTCTTCTCGGCTTTGTATAACGGAAGCTCAACCATTACCCGTGACCCTTCCTTCTGGTACCATGTCCGACCGTCTGTTCTTCCTCCCACATGCGCTGTCCGCCTGGATCAGCCCTTCTCCCTTGCGGAATTCGAAGCTGCCCTGGGGCGCCTATCCGAGGGGAAGACACCCGGGCCTGATGGGCTTCCTGGAGAACTGTTTCGTTCTCACAAAAGACTTTTCTCCCCGCCTCTTCAATCTCTTTGCACAACCATCAGCTCTCAGGGGCAGATACTAAGTTCTATGAAGGCGGGCAGAACGGTGCTCATTCCCAAGAAAGGGAGCACAGACTTGGTCGCGAATTTAAGGCCGATCACTCTTATGAACGCAGATTACAAAATCATCGCCCTCATCCTTGCCTATCTCTTACAGGCTGCCCTTCCGAAGATCATAAATCCAGCACAAGCTGCGTTTATCAAAGGCAGGAGGATCGGTGATACCATCAACGATACCTTGGACCTAATGGAATGGGCGTCTTCCCAAGGTGACCCACTCCTCGTCCTCACAATGGACATACGGAAGGCCTATGACATGGTTGATAGGCCATTCATGTACAAATGCCTGAAGCACTTGGGAATCTCTCCTGGCTTCATCCGGTGGGTGTCCCTGCTCCACTCTGACACCTCTACTAGAGTGTCGGTCAATAACTTATCTGGCCCCCTCTTCCCTGTGCGCTCAGGTGTTCGACAAGGATGCCCCTTAGCCCCCCTCCTCTTCGTCTGTGTGGTCGAAGTGATGCAGAGATACTTACATGCCTTTCTCCCTGGTTATGCGTTCAATCAATCACAACGGCGTCTTGCAGCCTGCTATGCAGATGATGTGTCCCTCTTTCTCACCTCTGAGGCCGAATTGCAGGTTACCACCCAAGCGCTCAGTACCTTTGCGGACATGTCTGGGGAGCACCTAAATTGGGAAAAATGCTCCATAATCCCCATTAACATGTAAGGCTCCCTGCTGCGCCACACAGGTCAAATCCCTGTCCGAGGATCGAACGACCCTGAGAGGATACTCGAGATTTATGTGGAACAGAGTCACCCTGGGTCAACCACTTGGGATAACATAACACTCCGCATCAGAGGCGCCACCAAGCTTCTGGCGCAATGTAAGGCTACTACCACATGCCGCTCCTTTCTCTCCACATAACGCCTCTCCTCTCTGTACGCTTATGGTGCTAGGTTCCAACCTCCCCCATCCCCTATCATCACCTCGCTTGACCGCGTCATTTGGCATTTTCCTCTCCAACTCCCAATACAAACAGCATGGGTTGGCTACACGCTGCATCCCCAAGAGGATTCTGTATAGCAAGAAGAAGCACGGCGACGTTGGTGCGCTTGAACCTTCCGCACACATCCGGGCATTAAACATTCAACGTGCTGTGCGTCGCTTTCGTGCGACTCCCTATGAGGACACCGGCCACTCATGCGTACCACTGCCATTTGGACTTCACTGTTACCTTGCTCACCCCTCTATCGTCAAATTCCTCCCTCCTCAGGTTCCGACCAGATTTCATGCAGAGCTGGAAGCCACATTACCCTTACCGTCTGTGGTGAAGCGTCCTCGGCTAGACCCCTGGAGCCTCATGGCCGAACCTGTCGCTTTTAACAGGTTCATAAGCAAAGAACCTAATGTTCCTTTTGGCCGCTTGAAGAATGAACTATTTCTGCTTTCTGGCCAAATCCGCTTGGGTAATCTCCTCATCTCCACACGTACAGGCGCACGGCGGATGGAAGAAGACGAGATATTTGGAAAATCCCCCCCCCTCTATGTTCCCAGGCAGCCGTACGCTTATTCATAGTATTTTTTACACCGTTCCTATCAGTTGGTGGGCTACCCTCAGGAGGTTCGCCCCAAGGAAAGACAACCTTGCGGTTGACGATGTTCTGGAGTTTATCAAGACATACCTTCCTAGCCGAATCTTTCGTGTCTCCCTTCTCCTTCCCAGATTCAAAGCGCGTGTCAACATTTTCCCTGTTCTTCAAGGGAGGCGGGTGGCCTTGGAGAGCGTCGGCTGCTGCATGGTCGCCTTCAAAGACGTGATCTCGGTTCATGTGAAAGGGCGCTGGCTAGCTGGGCCCTTCGATTCTGGCCCCGCTCTCGGCTCGCGTCATGAACTCCTCGCCGGCTCTCCATCGCTTTCGGACATCAGGAATATGACATATCAACCCCAGCCTCTCAACCATCTGGAGAGATGGAATATTATCGTTCGGGAGCCCATACCCTTCCTTCCGGACTATTACCGCCCATTCCTTAAGGACCAACCCTCCAGACATCGTGACGTCCTTTTCCGCCTGTTCACACGAACGCTTCCGTCCGGCTCCAGATATCGTTTCACTGCTACGGTGCTGCAGCCACAGTGCTATGGAGGGACCGATGCGCCTCTCAATACGAACAAACGTCGTATACGCGCATCGAGACTCTCCACCGAATTCTGGCCCCTTTCCTGACTGCTTGTAAAACCTATTTCAGCCGCCGCTCCAAATGGTATGACAAGAAGAAACGTGCCACTAGCAATCGAGTCAAAGCTACCACGGCGCTACGTCTACTCAATTTCGGGCCGGATGGTACTCCGCAACTTCACCCAGCTTTGCGAGAATCCTGGCTGCTGAACGACACATTTCATCCCCCGTAGAGGACTATGGTTCCTTAGCTGTACAATCCGGTAAAGGCTTTGGCCTTCATTATATCTTTGATAGACAAGTAATGCTGTTCTAGTGTAGGTCTTTTAGACCTTGGCTTTTAGCCATGCTTGTGGTGTTTTACTGTACGCGGTTACGACCATTATAAAAACTTCCAACTTAAAACTGACTGTGCTGACTCAGGAATGCTGCAAAACAACAAACGACGTCGTGCCACGTCAACGCTATCCGAATCTAAATTCCCAATTACAGTTACTGCATCCATCGGTAACCCACAGCACTGCTTGATCTCATTGGACTTGGAGATACAGTCGTTGCTCATTCCAAGAACACCAGGCAGGCGGGTGGCATGTGCGTGAAACACGTTTTAGGCATTTCGCCATGTTCGCCCTTGTCGCCACGGGCAAAAAAGGGACTGTAATATGAAATTGGAATGTGAATCGAGTCTAGTGTTTTAAGTTCGTAACCCGGTAAACATTTCTGATGACGGGCAACCGTTGTTGTTTATGAACTGTAGATGTTTTTCTTCTGCAACTTGGTGACTGTACCACAATGCTCAATTCAGTCACTCACGGGCAAAAACGTTCGCGAGTGACTGTTTTTCGATTGTGCTGACCTTTGGACACGGGATAAGGTGAGCATCGACTGTAAGTACTAATAATCGACATATTGGTTGCACTAATCCCAACGACCACACTCTCATCGCATCTCAGCCGCCTGCTGTTCCTCATACAGCGATGTCGTTCACCGCCTCGACCTGTGCCATGGTTTGTGGTACCGGCAGCATTCCCGAGATTGCCGCCCGCGGCGTTGCGGTTTCTTGTCAGATTCGATCGCTATCGGAATTTGTGATAGCGATCGGATCTGACAAATGTGAGCCTGACAGGTACTGTTCGACCCGTCCGTCCTTTTAGGCTTTCCTTCAATACCCAGATGCAACGGCTGTGGCGCATTGTAACTCATTCCCGATGCGCCTCTAAAAATCGCTCTCCGCCCGTAAAGCTTGGTCGGTTGAACCGCGTAGGGTGCACCAGTCACCGGGACTCGAAAGGCTGCGGGATTCCAAAGTCAGCGAGATGCGATTTTTTTGGAAGCCTTTGCTTTCATCCGCTCTTCCGCTTCCTGCTAAACCTCCCCTTCCTGATCCCCCTCTCTCTCTCTCCTCCTCCCCCTCCCAATACCTCCTCAGGTTCACGCAAGCATTGCACATCATGTCCCCGACCAATCACGTTATCCCTCCAACCACGCGTCGTAGCGTCCACGTCAGCTCCCGCCACGTCATCAGCCGCCATGGCTTCCGGCTCTAGTAATAGTAGTACCGCTGTCCCTGTCCCCACATCTGACGGCGGAGAAGCCGCGTCGTTCCGCCAGATGACTCCGGAGGAGCACTGGTGGTGGGGCATGCCAGAACGCCTTATGACTAACTTTCACGGCCAATGGCGATCGTGGAAGCCGCTCGAATCAACGGACGAGAATCGATCCATGAAATCCGTGCGGAAGATGTGGGCCACGTCACCTGATCGCACCAGCATCGCCCACGTGGTGAGCTTGTCAATGCAGCAGCATCGCCCACGTGGTGAGCTTGCCCATGCTCTCCCATTCTCCATTCTACCCCATCCCTTTTTCCCCTCCACTCCACCTGACTTTTGAGTCGGCTCAAAAGTCACCAGTTTCGCCCCACGTGGTGAGCTTGTCAATGCCCTCTCATCTTGCCCCATCCCCATTTCCCCCCTCCATTGCACCTCTTGAACTCTGAATCGCCTCATACGCCACCCGTACACTCTCCCTCTCCCTCACCTCACACCCCTCTCGTCCCCTTCCCTCCCTTTTCCTCCCCTTCCCTCTCCTCATTTTCCTTTCCCTGCCATCCCTTTGCTCTTTCCCCCCTGTCAGAATGACTGAAAGGACTTTCAGGAGGAGGTGCCTCCACAGATGCCCATGGTAGGTGTCCAATGGGACCTGCCACAGCCTATAGACGCCTCAACACGCTCCCTCTCCTCTCCCACCATACCCTCGCCTCCCTCCCCTTCCCACGCCTCCCTTCCCTTCCCACGCCTCGCATCAGAACGACTGGTACGAATATCAGGGCGAGATGCCTGCATACATGCCCAAGGTGGGCGTGCAATGGGACATGTCGCTTGCAGAGAACAGCCTTGACACGTCTCCGTACTCTCCCTCCCCCTGCCCTCCCCTCCTCTCCCCCTCTCCCCCTCCCCTCCTCTCCCCTTCTCCCCCTCTCCCCCTCTCCCCCTCCCCTCCTCTCCCCCTCTCCCCCTCTCCCCCTCTCCCCCTCTCCCTCTCCCCTCCTCTCCCCCTCTCCCCCTCTCCCTCTCCCCTCCTCTCCCCCTCCCCCCCTCTCCCCCTCTCCCCCCGCACCATCAGAACAACTGGTACGACTATCAGGGCGAGATGCCTGCATATAGCCCAAGGTGGGCGTCCAATGGGACATGTCGCTCGCACAGCACAGCCTGCCAGACGGATTCTGCCATGTGGCAGCCAGCAACTCGCGCCACTACGTCGTGAGCCGGCGCGCGGAGGGCATCTGGGCGCCTATTGACGTGGCGGACGGGGCGGGGGGCATGCAGCTGGCTTTCATGATCGAATTCTTCTTCGCCCACAGTGAGTCAGTCCTCCCTATTCTCATCAAATACGAACTAGGAGTATAGCTATCCACACGCGGAGGGCATCTGGGCGCCTATTGACGTGGCGGATGGATCAGGAGGCATGAAGCTGCCTTTCATGATCGAATTCTTCTTCGCCCACAGTGAGTCGTTCCGCTCTACTCTTCTTGTATATGTAACACTAAGAGCATGGCTGTAGACACGTGAAGGGTATCTGGGCGCCTAGTGAGGTGGCGGACGGGGCGGGAGGCATGAAGCTGCCTTTCATGATCGAATTCATCTTCGCCCACAGAGAGTGTTGCTGCTGCCCTTTTTCCGTTGGATCGAATTCTGTTGGATCAAATTCTGCTGGATCGAAATTAAGAGCATGGCTGCTCGACACACGGAGGGCATCTGGGCGCCGGTTGAGGTGGCGGACGGGGCGGGAGGCATGAAGCTGCCTTTCATGATCGAATTCTTCTTCGCCCACAGTGATTCAGTCCGCCCTACTCTACTTGTATGAAAACTAAAGGGGGTTGCTATAGACACGTGAAGGGCATCTGGGCGCCTCTGGAGGTGGGGGGTGGGGCTGGGGGCATGAAGCTGCCTCTATGATCTTTGAGGCGCCTCAAGAAGCTGCGTCTATGATCTTTGAGGCGCCTCAAGAAGCTGCCTCTATGATCTTTGAGGCGCCTCAAGAAGCTGCCTTTATGATCGAGTTCTTCTTCGCGTTCCTCAATCGCTTCCTGTCTCGGCGGCAGCATTCAGTACGAACCAGACGGAGCCTTCCAAAAACGATACCTTTCCTTTCATGCACCCCCTCCCCTTCCCCTCAATCCCCCCTTCCCGTATCCCTCCAGCAACCGTGTCCCGACTCGGCTCCAGCATTCAGTACGAAGCAGACGGAGCCTTCAGGGAAGGTCACCGTTCCTCCTCTCATGCACGATCTCCCCTCCAAACCCCCTCAATCCCCCCTTCCCGTATCCCTCCAGCAACCATGTCCCGTCTCGGCTGCAGCATTCAGTACGAAGCAGATGGAGCCTTCCGAACCTCAGTCGCAGTAGAAGATTCGCTAGACACCAACGAACGCCGCCCGGCAGATTGGGTCTCGCCTACTTGGGGCCCGGGCGGCCTCTCGTCCCGTCTGCCCGACCACCTGCCGCCCGTTCCGGCACTAGATGACAAGACAGTGGTGGGAACTCGCACCGTTCTGACCCGCAACCTGATGGTTCAGGAGCGAGAAAACGTGTCGTGGGCAGAGGAATGGAGCCCTAACGGTGCCGCCGCTGCTGCTGCCGCTGCTGCACCTGCCGCAACATCTGCGGCGGCGGCAGGGTTCATGGGGCGGGTGCCTCAAGGAGACGAGGAAAAGTATGAGGTGTTTTGAGACGCCTCAAGGAGACGAGGAAAAGTATGAGGTGTTTTCTCTGCCCCAGGGGGTGGTGGTGTTTTCTCTGCCCCAGGGGGTGGTGGTGTTTTCTCTGCCCCAGGGGGTGGTGGTGTTTTCTCTGCCCCAGGGGGTGGTGGTGTTTTCTCTGCCCCAGGGGGTGGTGGTGTTTTCTCTGCCCCAGGGGGTGGTGGTGTTTTCTCTGCCCCAGGGGGTGGTGGTGTGCGCCCCTCGCTCGCTGCAGCTGGTGGCAGGGAGGCCGTTTGTGCTGTCAGCCACGTGGGTGGTGGGGGCTGGGCTGGTTGGAGAGGGGGAGGTGAAGCGGATCACAGCCTACTGGGGGGCTGATGGGGGCTCTGAGAAAGTGGAGGGGGAGTGGTACAGGAGAGAGGCGTAAGGCGGAATGGTATAGTAGAGCCTCTGATTCATCAACAGCAGCTGGTGGCAGGGAGGACGATTGTGCTGTCAGCGACGTGGGTGGTGGACGCTGGGGTGGCGGGAGAGGGGGAGGTGAAACGAATGACAGCCTACTTGGGGGCTGATGGGAGCTTAGAGAAAGTGGAGGGGGAGTGGTACAGGAGAGAGGCGTAAGCCTGTCTGCAGGAGCAGCAGCTGGTGGTGGTGTTGGCCGGGAGGCCGTTGGTGCTGCTGGTGTCATGATGTGTGCTCCTCGCTCGCTGCACCTGGTGGCAGGGAGGCCGTTGGTGCTGCCGGTGTCATGATGTGTGCTCCTCGCTCGCTGCACCTGGTGGCAGGGAGGCCGTTTGTGCTGTCAGCGACGTGGGTGGTGGGCGCTGGGGTGGCGGGGGAGGGGGAGGTGAAACGAATGTCTGCCTACTTGGGGGCTGATGGGGGCTTAGAGAAAGTGGAGGGGGAGTGGTACAGGAGACAGGCGTGTAGAGGAGAGCTCCACAGCTGCTAGCTCGGCTGCAGCTGCAGCTGCAAGTGAAGGGTAGTAATCCAGGATGTTGGTGCAAGGGGTTGTGCCCCTCACTATTCAGGGACAGGAAGGAACAGTAACAGGAACGGGAGGGGTTGTGCCCCTCACTATTCAGGGACAGGAAGGAACAGTAACAGGAACAGGAGGGGTTGTGCCCCTCACTATTCAGGGACAGGAAGGAACAGTAACAGGAACAGGAGGGGTTGTGCCCCTCACTACTCAGGGACAGGAAGGAACAGTAACAGGAACAGGAGGGGTTGTGCCCCTCACTATTCAGGGACAGGAAGGAACAGTAACAGGAACAGGAGGGGTTGTGCCCCTCACTATTCAGGGACAGGAAGGAACAGTAACAGGAACAGGAGGGGTTGTGCCCCTCACTACTCAGGGACAGGAAGGAACAGTAACAGGAACAGGAGGGGTTGTGCCCCTCACTATTCAGGGACAGGAAGGAACAGTAACAGGAACAGGAGGGGTTGTGCCCCTCACTATTCAGGGACAGGAAGGAACAGGTTACAGTATACCTAGTGCCCAGTACACTCCAGAAGCATAACCCTAGTGAATGATTTGTGCAGGCTTCAGACGGGTTGGCGGGCTGAAGGTTGTGAAGTGTTTTGAGTGAAAGAATTTGCTCTTGTTGTAGACCTGCCAATAGCCTCGTAGCTGAAACTGCAGATTACACATAGTGTGTAACATATAAAATGTTTCTGCAGAATACTGTGCTGTACTAGTACATTCACGATTCTGCATGGAAGGTGTTTGTGAAGGTGATGTTGCCAGTGAGAATTGCCTCTGAGTCTGGAAAACAGGAAAGTGCAGGGAACACGGAGTGAACAGATGCATCAGGGGAAGAGATGAGGAAACTTGTTAGCTTCATTCCATGGGCCAAGCTGATGAGAGAGCGATGATGACCACTTCTGAGCATTCTCAAAAGTGACGCCGACATAGCTGATCAGATAATGATCACTTCTAAGTGGGTTGATCACAGTACGAATGGGTGCACACAGCACACATGTGGGAATGCTGACGTTTCACCTAACCTCACACCACACCACACCACACCACACCACACCACACCACACCACAGTACACCACACCACACCACACCACACCACACCACACCACACCACACCACACCACACCACACCACACCACACCACACCACACCACACCACAGTACACGATGGTACACGGCAGTACACCACACCACCCCACACCACCCCAGACCACATCCATCACATGTCACATCACCTGTGAGTGCAAGGGAGGCGAGCTCGAGCCGCACGTAACGCGTCAAAGCCTGCAGGTGGTAATCAGCGATGCAAAAAGGGGAGGGCATGAGGGGCTATGAACTAACTCCGAATAGAGGAACAGCAGAGATGGTGCGAGGAAGCAAGTTGGCTATGATTGGGAATGGTGAAGGTTGGAGGTGAAGGGGATTGGGGTTGGTGTGGTGGGGCGGAGCGGCAGCACCCCCTCTCTCACCTGCACGGCACCACCCCCTCTCTCACCTGCACGGCACCACCCCCTCTCTCACCTGCACGGCACCACCCCCTCTCTCACCTGCGCGGCACCACCCCCCCTTCTCACCCCCCCTCTCACCTGCACGGGAGCAGCTGCAGGGCCAGAGGGCATGTCAGACGCGTCTTCTGCAAACACATTGCTGCACGGCAGTTCGAGAGGCGCGGCAGAGGGGAGAGGGGAGCATGAGGGTCGTGGGAAGGGGGTCAGAGCGGCAAAGGTTGCTTCATCAAATCAGTTCGCATTGTTCTCAGACATGTGAAAAGGCCAGGAAAAAAAAACATGTTTTTACGAAGCTGCAGCACCGTGGGACATGTCAGACGCGTCCTGTGCAAACCCATAGCAGCACGTCAGTTCAAGAGGGGAGAGCGAGTTTGGAGGAAAAAAGCCAGAGAGGGGTACACTGCTGCATCGTACGAGTTAATTGTGTTCTGAGAGCTATTGCGACATGAGTTAGCGTTCTGAGTTGTCTCAGAAGAGATCAAAACGGATATGTTTTTACGCAGCACACCCTCGTAATGGGAATCCATATCCTCAACACCACCTGATGATACGCCTCTGTCTCTCACACTCACCGCCAGAGGGCCTTGGAGAGCGCATCAGCGTTAGCACCAGGTGCAACAGCAGCATCGTAGGCCGCAGCCGCGCCGTAAAAGCTTCTCTCGAGCTCGCGCATCCACTTGATCACCAGCAGCTTCACCCCCGCCGCCACCCCGTGCTGCGCCCAGCGCGCCCTGAGCGTCCTCTTTACAACGATCCTTGGAATCTGTGCGCCCTGTGTGCCCTGTGTGCTCTCCTCAAGGTACCTCGTTCCTGAACCTCATCTGAACAGCGTACCACTCACCGCCAGAGAGCCTTGGGGAGGGCGTCCGCACTCGCGCCAGGCGCCACAGCAGCATCATAAGCAGCAGCAGCACCGTAAAAACTCCGCTCGAGTTCGCGCATCCACTTGCTGACGAGCATTTTCACCCCCGCCGCCACCACCCGCCGCTCCACGTCGTGGTTGAACGTGTGGTAGAACGTCTGCCCCACCGCCGCCCCCTGCGCGCCCTCCTTGCGCAGACGCAGGAGCGCCAGCCACGTGTGCAGCACGAGCAGCGCGTGGTGTGTGCGGAACTGCGAGGGGAGGCCGAGGGCTGCGGGGGGGTTGGGGGGAGGGAGTGGGGGGGAGGGGTCGTCGGGGAGAGGGAATGGGAGTTGGGTGGAGGAGTTAAGTAATAGGCGGTCAAGATTCAAGTGACGAGCTTTGATCTGAAGAATCAGGATAACCGGGTGGCATAACCACAGCCCACCTCTTAAGAACGTCTCGTCGTCAGCCTGACGCGTCACCGCCCTGTAGAGCGCGTTCGCGCCGCGGATCAACTCACTCTCCTTGGAATAGTATCCTAGAATGCCCAGCACCGCGCCGTACACCCCTCCCTTGGGTGTAGATACCACCTTGGGATTGGGACCCACGCCTAGAGGCTTCGGGGGATCGCGAAACAGCGCGTCGTACGGCTTGATAGGTGGGAGGGATGGGTCTGACGTGGCATCCGACGTGTCACTTGACGGGGAAGCTGGCGAACCGGACAGGAGAATGGACGATCCAGTGGTATTAGTAGCGATGGAACGCGATCCGATGATCGGGGTACTAACTGTGCACACTCGTGCTCTTTCGCTTACAAATACTCCGGTATCCCAGTAACACGTTTCACTTAGAGGTCGTAAGGAATGTGTCGCGAACAGGGCGTCGCGGCGAGAGGCGGGGAGAGGAAAAGCCGCACTGCAATTCCCAACGCGTTCCAACTTCGATCCGCTTGGATCGGATCTAACTGGCAATGATTGCGCTGACGTGGATCTGGCTAGGAGCCATATCCCCGGCCCTATCGTTGCTGTGGTTGCTGTCGCTGCTGCTGCCACTGTTGCCGCTGTTGCTGGTCTAACCCGCGCGTCTGCCGTTTCGGCTGTTGCTGCTGTCGTCACTGTAGCTATCGGTGATAGTGCTGATGCTGACAGTGCTCGTACAACGGTCGGATTCACTCCGATCCATGAAAATCTGCGGTCTAACAACGAAAAAAGCTGCGATGGAGGAACTGGCAAGGCAGAATGCGAACCGCGACGCATCCTGACAAATTCCTTTGACGCTCAGATCGGACCAAGGGAGTTAACACGAGGATCGGAAGTAGGTAATATGAGTTTCAAAAGTACGGTGAGGTTCAGAAGTATCTAGATGAGGATCAGAAGAAAGAGAGGATCGGACAATCTGGGTTGAGAAGGTATCTAATATCGGGACTCGACAACCAGTACAAGGAGTACGTAGTCTTGCGCCAGTACGAAAGAACAGAACAAATTTGGACGGATAAGGAGAAATGTGTCGTACGATTGATTGATGGTCGATCGCTGGTACTAGGATCTCTAGTTCTAGACCGCTGCTTCGAAGTATGCGGACTCCAGCATCATGTCGAGATGGTTGCAGCACGACGAGTAATCATCGACAGCTCGACAAGCCGTCAATTGCAATGACCCATGATACGTACCCTTTATTGGCACTCTCTCAATAAATACACGTGGTAACACTTTGGAATGCGAGGTTATAATCTGAAACGAAACTAGCAAGTCTGTTTCACTAGTCAAGTCACCTGTTCAGCAACATCCTCACAAACCTTCAATGACATGTTCACAGGATGATGCCCCCTTCCCAAGAAGATTACTTTTATTTACACAATACTGTCACCTCGTACAGCGAAAGCCCCTGTAGGGCCATGCACAGAGGGACGTTGTGCCGGAGGAAGCAAAAAAGGAACCTGTCCAGACGTGGCTAGTGCTTCTGTAAGCTCTGGAACCACCGGCTCTATTTGCAAAAAGGAGAAGTCAACTGGCGATGAATTCTTCAAGCTAATTACGCAGAGAATCGCGAACCAAGATGCCAAAACAAGCGTCCAATAGGTATCAAATCCCTGCAGCGTAAAAAACCAAGGCAGAGAGGTGGTAATTAGCATATGCAACAAGGATTGACTAACTGCAAATAAGAAAGTTGATCAGAGTTTAGTGTACAGACCTTCAAGGCTCCCCAGGAAAGGAGATAGCCAGCAATGATGCCTGCAAGATGACCCACGAAGCTTGCCTGCCATGCACGGATGGAGACGAATGCACGAGCGAAGGAATAATGGATATGCATGTTAACAAGAAAGGTGTGAAGAGGAGGAAACCAGGTAAAAAGGAGTTAGAACCATGTGGGGAAACGAGAGTAACGAAACAGGTGGATGGATATCCGCACCTTTGGAACGATGAAGGACGTGAAGATGAGGGACTCAAACGGGGCGAGCGACACGGGCAGCTTGATGAGCCCAAACACCGAGAGCGTGATGGCGGGGCGGCGCACAGACAGCACCGTCATCCACCCAAACACCACACACGAGTACCCCACTGCTGTCACTCTCCGGAAATACTCCAGGCGCCACCTGTGGATGAGCACATGGTACATGGCTAGGCCCAGCAGTCCTGACAGCACCAGCATGAGAAACGAATCTCTTAGGTACCCAATGGACCCTCCTGGCTCCCATCCCCTTGCCACCTGCTGCTCATTTGCCGACAAGCCTGTTTTATCAACCTTCTGCTGTTGTTGCTGCTGCAGGAGAAGCTGCTGCTTCTGATCGTTCTCTTCTGCTGGATTCTGCTGCTGCTGTCCCTGTATTGGACCTGCGTTGGCATTTTCTCCCAGTCCTCGTCTCGCCAGTGCAGCAGCAGCAGCAGTAAATTCCCCTGGCTGAGAGGGTTCAGTGCTGGAGTTGCTCTGACCAGTAAGACTGCTAGAAATGGAAGATTGTGGAATGCTGTGATCCAGTGAGGAGGCAGGCTGCGAGAAGGATGCGAAGGAGGAGGAAAGGAGAGAGGAGGAGGGAGAAGAAGGAGCTAGAGGCACAGAAGAGACGGTGGACTGCCATTGGCCAGATGTCGAATTTGCAGCAGCACCACCACCAGAGGCCATAACGGCAACCCTGCTGATGTCAGCGGAGGTTAGGGTTTCGATCCCGCCCATGCTCCAGAGCGCGGAGACGTTGAAGAGGAGATGGAGGAGGGAGATGTGTGAGAGCGGCGCGGACGCGAGGCGCCAGAACTGGCGGTGCGAGACGACCGCGTCGTAGCTTATTCCCACATCGGGGTAGCTTATAGCGCGTTTCTGGATCTGGAACCAGATGAAGGAGCAGAGAGCGACGACGAGCGTCGTTGCCGGCTTGCGGAGCACGTCGAGCAGTAGCGGCACCCCCATGGCTCTCGCGCTTCCCGTCTCTCTCTCTCGCGTCTCCCTCTCGCGTCTCGCGTATCGCCTCTAGCGTATCGCCTCTCCGCTCCTCACCTCCCGTTTCGTTTCGTAAGCAGCAGCGGCTGACCTTCCTAAATCATCCCACCGACACTGCTCTCCGAACTCTTACTGTTCTAACATGGGTCGGTTCGGCATCTCGCCAACGGACGGCCTACGTCCCGTAGCCTGCTAGCGTCGGTGCAGGAAAAGCGGAGCAGATCGCGGCAGTACACGCTGTGAGCTTTCCTGGAAGGGCCGACACTTAGTCAGCGGCCTCTCCATCTAACTCATGTGAGAGCCTTCCATCGCGCTCCATGGCTACGCCGAACATGGCCCGTGACGCACTCTAGTCGATCGTGCATGATAATGGGCTGCATGCGGATCAACTATTTGCTGTGGCCAAAATCTAGACCAACTGGGTGCCTGCAGTTCCTCCAACTCCACTTTTCCCATGCTTGATGGTGAAATTCTAGGCAACAAAAAATCTGAGAACCAGGTCAAAGCTTGAATGCATTCGCGTTTCAGGGTGATCTTTGTACACGGTTCCGATGATAAAAAAAAGGATCTGTTAGATTTTCACTACACCTGAATGCAAACTCAAAGAGTTAGGGGACTCGAAACCACGACAGCCTGTGCCACGTGGTCCACTCTATCTTTCCTGAAGCCAACCACTGCCACAAGCTTCGCGCCAACGTGGCCACAGAGAAGGCTCATTGGCAGAAAGCAACCCGCGCTTCCTCTCCGCCGGCCCTCAATTTCCCCCCATTGCAGGTTCCATCATTCTCCCGCTGCCCCTGTTTCCCTCCCAAGTTCCCGCTACCTCCCCAGCTGGCGGAACCCGCCCTCCGCGGAACAGATTTTGCTGTTTGCTTTTCCTTGCGGAAGGACCACCAGACTAGGGAGAAACCAAATTCTAGTTTTTCCCCAGGGATCTTCAGGTGAACATTAGATGGTCTAATTTGTTCCTCCTTTTCTCTTGAAAACTACCTGTGTTGTCTCCGCAACAGCGGAGCCATTGTCCCGTTCGAGGAAGCCTTCGTGTCAGAATGCTCGCCTCGGAGCTAGCCGTTGGCCTCGGCTGCGTCGGAACGATTCCCTTCGCTCCATCGTCCTCTCACCACCGACCAAACACGGCTCCTCCCGCCGCTGTTTGCGCCCTCGCCTCTGATCCCCTCTCCCGCTCGCTTTTTGCAAGCCAACCGAACCGGTGCCTTAAAGCTGCTAAGCCATCGACCCGATCGGTTAGGCGACTAAATACAACTACCCCGGTCTATGCCAGACACCTGGAATATCAGGTAGCCGCTGCAGCGGCTCCTTTAGCCGGAGAAACGGCGTCAGTGACGGCGGGGAATGCGGCGAGGGAGAGTGGAGGGTCAGCAGAGCGGGGACTGACGGTCGTGGATGTAGATTTGGGAGATCGGAGCTACCCGATTTACATTGGCGCGGGAATTCTGGACCGCGGGGATTTGTTGTGCAGGTAAGATGGACGGTGGAGATTCCATCTGCGCGTGTGGACTTAAACCGCTGGTTGATTTACCCCAGTATGCCCGACAATGAGTGGTGTTACGTCTTTTGTTTCTCATCTCCTGTTTCCTTCGTGTACTATTGTTTGTAGCATACCATTTATGTTCTCTTCATCATTCCGTCCTTGTTACTTTCTCGTTCCGTGTTTTTAGGCACGTCAAGGGCCGACGTGTGCTGGTGGTGACCAATGAAAGCATCGCGCCGCTGTTCCTGGAGCGGACTATTTCGGCACTGACACATGGCAACTCGCAATTGGAGGTTCGAAGCGTCGTGCTGCCAGACGGCGAGCAGTTTAAAGACCTGGTAGGTTGTTTCCTGGGTTTGTGGATGTCTCTTGAGATTTTCGCGTCTTGTTCAGCATTGCGCCGTCTAAAACCAATCCGTTTGTTAATATGTTTAAAATCTTGGAACTTTTTGCTAGATTTTAACCAAGTCTTGTTCCTCGTGTGTCAACCTGGTTTTAAACGCCTCGTGCTGCTTCCGCGCACAGGAAACCCTCAATCTGATCTTCGACCGAGCCCTCGAGACCCGCATGGACCGGCGCTGCACGTTCGTGGCTCTCGGGGGAGGCGTCGTCGGCGACATGACGGGCTTCGCCGCTGCTTCGTACCTACGAGGCGTCAATTTCATCCAAATTCCCACTACCGTCATGTCTCAGGTATGCTCCCTTCCTCTGTACAAGATACGCCTATTGTCCCTTGTCTCTCTGAAGCTTTCTAGGTCGTCATGTATCCTTCGTCTGTTTCCCTTCTGTCCATCTCCCTTTCCGTCCGTCCCCCCTGCTTTCCTTATGTCCATTCGTCTTAAACCCTTTCTCACCATCTCTTCTCCAGCCAGACCCGTCTTCATGCGTTTATTCTATTCTCATTTCCCTTCTTTCGTTACTCTTCTATGATTATGTACAGGTGGATTCGTCGGTGGGCGGCAAGACAGGTGTCAACCACCGGTTGGGCAAGAACATGATAGGCGCGTTCTACCAGCCGCAGTGCGTGCTGATCGACACCGACACGCTCGCGTCGCTCCCGGACAGGGAGCTCGCGTCGGGGCTGGCGGAGGTGATTAAATACGGGCTCATCCGCGACGCGGAGTTCTTCGAGTGGCAGGAGGAGAACATGGACCGGCTGCTGGCGAGGTGAGAGAGAAAGGAAAGAAGCAAACGTGTCCGAGGTAGTGTGAGGGGTTCCACTGGGAAGTAACTCAATGTGATGCTCATTAAAAAGGTGGCTTCATGGCTGGAGGGAGTCTGTCTCGAGGTGGTGTGAGGGGTTTCACAGGGAGCTAGCAGGAGGAGCTAGTATGGGCTTATCCGTTACGAGCTGGGTTTCCTCATGGGTTTCACCGCCAACCCATGAGGAGCTAGAACATGGGTTGGCTGCTGGCAAGGTGAGAGGGGATGCGTGTGTCAACATAGTTTGAGGACTTTCAGTGGGAGGTGGTTTCCTGGGAGTGTGTGTGTGTGTGTGTGTGTGTGTGTGTGTGTGTGTGTGTGTGTGTACGTATGTGTGTGGTACATGCGGGGTGGATGATGATGACTTGTTCAGCGAGAACTGTTCCTTCAGGAGCAGTGGTGAACTGTTGCATTCCACACACGAGATTGCTGACACCCCAAGACGCTGAAATTCGCTGCCAGCCACACGGACATCTATACTTCTCTTTTCTGGTTTTGGATTCTCCCATATTCACTTACTGTTGTTCCGTCGACTCAAAAGTCAACCCAGCCACACAAGCATCTATATTTCCTTTCTGGTTTTGGATTCTCCCATGTTCACTTACTGTTGTTCCGTCCCTTGTATTCGCCGCTTGGACCTGAGAGTCAATTTGGATGTCCTGAATCCTGATCCGGACATGGGTGCGTGATTAAACTCTGTTCTACAAGTGAGCTACCAGGCAGAGCATGCCTGGTCAGCAGTGAGAATCTTATTCCACACACGAGATTGCTGACACCCCAAGAAACTGAGTTCATGTTTCCTGATTTTTGGTTTCTCCCGGTTACATCTCTGAGCTCTGTTTCGTCCCTTGTATTTCGAGCTACATAAGTAATATGGATGTCGTGCTAGTGTGTGGGTGGGTGATGATACTCGCTTCTCTTGAGCTGCCAGGCAGAGCATGCCTGGCTGGTAGTGAGAAACTTATTCCACACACGAGATTTCTGACACCCCAATAGACAGCATGCCATTTTCCTTCTCTCCTTCTAGTTTGTGCTTTTGTGTTTTTTTTTCTCCTGCTTCATGGTGAGGTGGGCTCGTGAAGGGCTTTTCCCCTGTGTAAAGCTGTCCTGACCATCTGCTGTTTTTGGACTCGGTGTTTTTCTTGGGACCCTGTGTTTTTCTTTGGGCCCTGTGTTGTTTTGCTCCCGGTTGTGTGATCGCATGGCAGGGAGACGGCGGCACTGGCATACGCAATCAAGCGGTCGTGTGAGAACAAGGCGGCGGTGGTGGCGGCAGATGAGAAAGAGGGCGGACTCAGAGCCACGCTCAACCTTGGCCATACCTTCGGTCATGTACGTCAGCGATACGCCTCGCATGGTCCAGTTCAACAACAGTCCCTGCATTTTGTGTCGTTTTACTTATGTTTGCCTTGCACCTCACCTTGCTCCGCCTCTCCCCTCGTGCCCCCCTTCTCTTCTCCTTCCCTCCCTCCATCACCCCCACAACCACCCCCCTTGCTCCCACTGGTCCTGTAGGCCATAGAAAGCGGGTTGGGGTATGGAGGGTGGCATAGTGGGCGGTGACAGTGGGCACGGTGATGGCAGCACACTCAAATTACTGCTTATCCCTCTCCCCCCTCTCTTCCCCTCCTCTCTCCTCTTGTTTCCAGGCGATAGAGAATGGGCTAGGATACGGAGAATGGCTGCATGGGGAGGCGGTGGCAGCGGGCACGGTGATGGCAGCACACATGTCGCACCGCATGGGGTGGATCGACGCGGCTCTGAGGGATCGCATCACTGCTATCATTAAGAGGGCCCGACTGCCCACGCGTCCCCCGTCTGCTGTCACTAAGGAGCAGTTCAGAAGCCTCATGGCGGTACGTGTGTGTATGAGGGTGGGGAGAGGGTTGAAGGGAGGAGGGAAATTCTGGTTGTTACATGTGAACAAAAGGGGAGTTTGTGGTGCGATAAGAGAGGGTTGAAGGAAGGAAGGGGATTTTGGGGGTTTCATCGAACAAAGGGGGAGTTTGTGGTGCGATAAGAGAGGGTTGAAGGGAGGAAGGGGATTTCGGTTGTTTCATGCGAAGAAAGGGGGAGTTGTGGTGCGATAAGAGAGGGTTGAAGGAAGGAAGGGGATTTTGGGGGTTTCATCGAACAAAGGGGGAGTTTGTGGTGCGATAAGAGAGGGTTGAAGGGAGGAAGGGGATTTCGGTTGTTTCATGCGAAGAAAGGGGGAGTTGTGGTGCGATAAGAGAGGGTTGAAGGGAAGAAGGGGATTTTGGTTGTTTCATGCGAACAAAGGGGGAGTTAGTGGTGCGATGAGAGAGGGTTGAAGGGAGGAAGGGGATTTCGGTTGTTTCATGCGAACAAAGGGGGAGTTTGTGGTGCGATGAGAGAGGGTTGAAGGGAGGAAGGGGATTTCGGTTGTTTCATGCGAACAAAGGGGGAGTTTGTGGTGCGATGAGAGAGGGTTGAAGGGAGGAAGGGGATTTCGGTTGTTTCATGCGAACAAAGGGGGAGTTTGTGGTGCGATGAGAGAGGGAGGAAGGGGATTTCGGTTGTTTCATGCGAACAAAGGGGGGGTTTGTGGTGCGATAAGAGAGGTAGATATCTCCCCACACGGCAAACCCGGCCGTCACCAAGGTGATGTTTCGAAGCCCGATTGCAGTACGTGTGTTGGGCTGAGTGAGTAACCTCCCTCGCCTGCAGTCACCAAGTAGCAGTTCAGAAGCCTCATGGTGGGTGGGAGAGATAACACTCGTTTGCCTGGCACAAGGATATATGTCTTCCAATATTTCCTTTTGCCTGACTGCCCACCCTCTCCCCCCACCTCCTACTTATTTACATTTCACTCTGTAGACTTAGCTTACAGGTGTTCTTGCTTCTGGTGTTCTTGCTTCCACTTTGGCAGGTGGATAAGAAGGTAGCGGACGGCCAGCTGCGTCTTATTCTGCTGAAGGGTTCATTGGGTGACTGTGTTTTCACTGGGGACTTTGACAAGGCCGCACTTGAAGCTACCCTGGATGAGTTTTGTGAAGTTTGAAAGGGTAAATAATACGGCTTCCCAGTGGAGAAGAGTTTCATGTGCACTTTATTTGGGTTCTGGGCTGGGGAATGTGCACGGGGGAAGCCTTTATGGTGACATGATAGTTTGGGGAGATTATTGGCTGATTTGATGTCATTGTTTCTATCATAATGCCATGGATCTGTTATACCAACATTATTGCAAAATGCTAGTCCTCGTTACGGGCTGCCCAGTGGCACTGAGTCGCCTGAATTTGCGCTTTCATCAGCACATTGATCGACGAATTGGAGCATGAACCTGCGAACAGAGCCTGAATCGGGACCGTAAGATGGTAATCGGGTGAACCTCGGGAATTCCGTCATGTGGCCCCTTGGTTTCGGCGCGCCGCTACGCTTACGCGGCCACCATTTCTGACCCCACTTTTTATTTGTGTCTGTCTTGTTTCAGTCATTCCTGTTTCGCTTCGCCTTTTGCTTGTGCTGAAGTTTCTCAGGACGCCGAATCAACGCCAGATTTATATGAAGGAATAGACTGCGTTTTGTCTAGACTGCTCACCACACGGGAGGACGTGTACGTGCAATAACAGGTTCTCCATCATCATGCCCTGGACCCCGAACGCGAATCAACGCCATATTTATATGAAGCACGAACCGATTCCGTCAGCTTAGCTTTTTCCATCAACGGCTTTGCGCCATGGAGGCACCTACAGTGTCCGTTTGCACGTTCTCTCGTCACTCTCACGTAGCTGGTCGCCTTGCACTTTCCAATGACAGCAATCGGCCATTGAAACAAGCCTCGCACACGCACCCGCGCTGTCGTCTCGCGTTCACAGGCTCCCAAGCTGCGTGCTCCGCTCACACAGAGTTAAGGTCGAAGCAGCATTGTGGATCGATTCGTCGGTTTCAAACCCCGACCGGCATCCGTCAATTCCCGGCCAATCACCCTCCATTCGGCGGCTCGCATGCATTTCCTAAGCCGCTGGCTGCGTATCCAGAGCGGCCGCGTGACGTCACCGCGATGGCACGATCAGACTCTTCAGATCGCGTGATTTCGATTAATCAGCTTCGGGAGCAGCAGAACGCTGGAACATGGCCTGAACGGAACACATTGGAAGGGATGCCCGCTCGCGACACGGTGACGTCACGCTCCTTTGGAGTTTTACCTCGGGACGGTTTTAAACTAGGAAATTATAAAAAGGTTTCACGATTGCCGCAAAATGCGCCGTGGTTACCGACTTTCCCTGGTCCGCCGCTTTCAGCGCCGGAAGCGGAGCTGATCGTGGCTCTTGCGGGTGCTGTTGCACAGTCGCAGGTGAGTCTGATTGTTCCAGGTGTGATTTACCCCGGTAGTCCTGGAAATCTGACGTATCACCCCCTCCTTGAGCAGCAGCATCAGCGGCAACAGTTGTTTTCCTTGTTCCTTTTCAGAATCTGTAGTTTGCTAATCAATTTTACCTCCTGTCTCAGGCAAAACTCCTTGCCAGCGTCAGCAGCAGCATTGGGGATGCAGTGACACGTCTGCAGAAGCTTATCCAACCATCGCCTCCAGGACTGCCACCTGGACCTGCTGATGACTCAGCAGTCAGGCTGGCGTCAGATCCACTCGCCTTCCTGGATGACATGGCCAAGGACTATCCAGGCGGCATTGCCACCGTCAGATTGGTGGGAGAGCCCGTACTCGTTATAAGCAGCCCGTGCGTGTTATGAAAAAACGTTTCTTTTTTCTGTTTGTCTGATTTTCAAGTGTCTTTGGTCGTCTGTCCTCCTTATTACCCATCCTCCCTGTCATCACGACTCTGGTCTCTTTTATTGCAGCTGCCAACCAATGCCTCTTCACATGCATTCCCCAGGCCTTTTTTCGTACTTCTGTACACACTGCTCCCCCTCTCTCGTCCCCTCTCCCATTCCCCCCCCTCTTCCCCCTTCTGCACTTCCTCCCCTCCTCCCCAAACCCTGTCACGGCAGTGAATTAGCACGGGAGGTGTTGGTCACGCAGTCTGACGTTTTTATCAAGGTGTGTACGTGCTCGTGCTTATCCTTGTGAATAACTGCTTATCCCATCAAGTGTGCCTGCATGCAAGGCTGCGTGCACATCTGCTTTCCCATCCCTAGCCATCCGTCTGTGTCCCTCACTGCTCTCTCTCAGTCCATCAGAAACTGCTGAGAGCTCTACATCAAGCAGTAGCTGCTCTGACCATTGGTACGCTGATACTATTTACTATGTATCCATACGTCTGTTTATCTTCACACTCACTCGTCTCCCTCTCAACAGGCGGGCACAGCATTTTTCCCCGGCAGCAGCTTGACGGGGAACGGGCTGCTGGTGAGCGATGGGGAGGTGTGGAAGAGACAACGCCGCCTGTCCAACGCTGCCTTCAGAAAGGCCGCCATTCAATCATATGCCACGGTGGGTTGGGCTTCAGAGTGGGTTGGGCTTGACGTGTTTCTTTTTTTTTTTCAGATTGTGAGTTGGGTTGGGGTCATAAACCCTTGTCTATTTATTAAGAAAGAGGTGTTTTTTTTTTTTTTTTTTTTTTTTTTTTCACAAACATTAAAATTGGTGCCAGTACTCGTATTGGCTCCGTGTGAAGAAGGCAACATCGGCTCCTGTTCAAATGCGCCCAGAGTCAATGAAGGGCCACTGGCAATCAAGCTCCTTACATTCAATTCTCGTTCTGCCTCTGCTCACCTGAGTTTTTTTTTTTTTTCTTTTTTCTCTCTGGCACAGGCCATGGCGGAGTTGGCTGATGACATGGTGGGCGGCAGAGTCAACGAGGGGCCACTGCCGATCAAGCTCCTTACATTCGATTCTCGTTCTGCCTCTGCTCACCTTTGCTTATGCTGTTGGTCCTCGGTTTTCTCTCTTATGTTCTCGTTCACAGGCCATGGCGGAGTTGGCTGATGACATGGTGGGAGGCACGTGGACGGATAGCCAAGTAGGACGAGGGGGACGAGGAGGGAGGGATGGGGTGGTGCAGAACGGTGTGAAGCAAGATGGTGTGGTACAAGGTGGTGTGGTGAGGGACGTGTATGCGGACTTCAACGAGCTGACCATGAGGATAGTGGTGGCGGCGCTGTTTGGTGGGGGCGGGTTGGGGGGAGCAGCAGTGGAGCAGGTGGGACCTGCTATCTCCACGGCCTTTGAGTTCTTTGCCAAGCGCGCCACCAGCATGCTCATCAGTTGAGTGCCTTTCCTCCCCCAGCACGCCTTTCCTCCCCTAGCATGCTCATCAGTTGAGTGCTGATCACACACCCCCAACAACGTCCCAAAGCTCTGATCACACACCCCACTCCCTCTCCCATCTCCACGGCCTTTGAGTTCTTTGCCAGCATGCTCATTAGTTAAGCACATAACCTCCTCCCTCCCAGCATGCGCATCAGTTAAGTGCTGATCATGCACCCCCAACCACTTCCCACTGCTCTGATGACACCCCCCTCCCTCGCCATCTCCAATGCCTTTGAATTCTTCACCAAGCGCGCCACCAGCATGCTCATAAGTTAAGCGGATTGCCTCTCCCCTTCCAACAACTCTCCTTTCATTTCTTCTTGCGCTCCTGCTTCGTGTTTCCATGTGTGTGTGTGCGTGTGTGCGTGCATGCAGTCCCCGAGTGGTTCCCTACTCCCGACAATCTCCAGTACACGGCAGCAGTGCAGCGCCTGGACGGGGTGGTTTATCGGCTGATAGAGGAGAGGAGGAAGGAGATGGCGGGGTGGGCTGCCACACGGGGGACTGCACAGGGAGGAGGCGAGGAGGGGAAGGACCTTCTCACTAGACTGCTGCTGGTGAGACCACCATTCACCCCTCCTTTGCTGCTGCTGCTGCTGCTGCTGCTGCTGCTGCTGCTGCTGCTGCTGCTGCTGGCATAAAGCCTCTATGCGAGCAAACATTAGCGCTGGTCGACCCGTTTTCTTGCACTCACATACCTGCCTGCCTCCCATCTAACCAGGCTCGGGATGAGGACGGCTCGGGAATGGACGACCAATCACTCAGAGACTAAGTAACTGCACCCTCATTTCCTGCTCTCACTTGCGCCCACTCTCACCAGGCTCGGGATGAAGACGGCTCGGGAATGGACGACCAGTCACTCAGAGACGAGCTCATGACTCTGCTGGTTGCGGTACGATGCGTTACACTGCGGTTTGGTGGTTTGTATTGTGGTACAGTTCGATCACGTTATTGCTGTCGATATTTCAGTTCAGACTAATCTGGCAACTGGTGAACTTTTCTCATCGTTTTTCACCCCGTATATATCCTTCAAAAGGTTTCCTGTCATCCTAGAATTGCGTTCCGAGAATTCTAAAAACGCAGCTGTTCGTATCGACAAGGTTTCCTACTTCACCATTTCGCCCATCTCTCTCGCACCGGCCCCCTCTCTTTCCATTTCCACTTTTCTTCCTCTGTTTCTCAATCTCCCCAGGGCCAGGAGACATCAGCCATCCTGCTGGCGTGGGTGTGTGTGCAGCTGGCACTGCATCCGGAGGAGCAGAGGCGGGCAGCAGAGGAGGTGCGGGAGGTGCTGGGAGGGCGGAGCCCCACTCACGCTGACGTTCCCAAGCTCAAGTGAGTGGCAGTGGTGGTAGAGGCAGGATGGGAGAGTGAGCTATCCTGCTGGCGTGGGTGTGTGTGCAGCTGGCGCGACTTTTGAGAATTCTCAAAAGTCACACCAATGTAGCATGCAGCTGGCGATGCATCCGGAGGAGCAGAGGCGGGTGGCAGTGGAGGTGCGGGAGGTGCTGGGAGGGCGGAGCCCCACTCACGCTGACGTTCCCAAGCTCAAGTGAGTGGCAGTGGTGGGAAGGGAGAGTGGTAGGGAAGGGGTGGGCACACCCACGCACACCCATGCCAGCAGGATTGGACCATCCTGCTGACATGGGTGTTCGTGCAGCTGGCGCTGCATCCCGAGGAGCAGAGGCGGGTGGCAAGAAAGGTGCTGGGAGGGCGGAGCCCCACCCATACTGACGTTCAAAAGCTCAAGTGAGCAGGAAGAGAGAGATGGGAGAGTGAGAACGATAGTGGAAGTGTGGGAGGTCAAGGTGCGCGAGTCGTAGTGAGAAGGTGGTGCGAGGGTAGTGGAGGGATCAAAGTCACGGTGGTGCATAGAACCCTTTTGAGTCGACTCAAAAGTCACCTTGGTGCATAGAACCCATTTGTTGTCACAGTCAAGTCGCCATGATGCCCTCACCTCCCCTCCCCTAGAACCACCTCGCGCGCTCCTGCAAGGAACCTGGTATGGAAGCCTGTTCAGTGACACTCCCGATGCTGGGAACCTCCTTTGGATGCTGGAAGAGTGCCGCGCTTGTCCCCGCCATCCCATTCCCCTTTTGCCATCACTGGAGGCACCTGAAGGCAGTCATGCATGAGACGCCACGGCTGCTGAAACCTTGTGAGTCGCCTCAAACGCCCACAAGCTACCTCACAAGGTGAGGAACTTTCAATGTTCCACCTCAAGCCTATCCCCCACCTTCCCATCCACCCCCCACCATCATGCCAGGTACCTCGAGTTAATGATACTTTTGAGTCGACTCAAAAGGTACCTCGAGTTAATGATACAGGAGATGCTGCGGTTCATGTCAACCGTTATATCCTCCCCCCGCCATCCCATCCGTCTCCCCACATTATCCTGGCAGGTACCTAGCGGCGGTCATACAGGAGACACTCCGTTTGATGCCACCGGCGTACATACATTGTGGGGCGCTATGCGTGCCGCGACACGCGCCTGGGAGAGTGCCGCGTGCCTTACCTTACTGCCTTTCCCCCACCATCCCACCCACTCCCCCCCCCCCTCATCAAAGCAGGTACCTGGAGGCAGTGATACAGGAGACGCTCCGTTTGATGCCACCGGCGTACATCGTGGGGCGCTGTGCGTGCCGCGACACGCGCCTTGGGGAGTGGCGAGTTCCCCAGGGCACCACTGTGCTTGTGAGCCCGTACCTGCTGCACCGCGACCCACAGCACTGGCCCAGGTGAGAGAAGCAAAGAGGAGCGGTGTGGGGCAGTGAGGAGCGGTGAGGCGTGGAGAAAATGCTGTGAAATAACATGTTCTTGGGAAGGTGGGGGGGGTGGGCGGGAAGGGGTGGTGTGTACCTCAGGGCACCACAGTGCTAGTGAGCCCATACCTGCTGCACCGCGACCCACAGCAGTGGCCCAGGCAAGAGGTGGAGGAGAGGCAGGGACCACTTGGTGTACATGCGTGCATGAACCGGGAGGACTGGGATGGGGAGTGGCGTGTTCCTCAGCGCATGAACCGGGAGGACTGGGATGAGGAGTGGCGTGTTCCTCAGCTCACCGCAGTGCTCATGAGCCCATGCCTGCTTCACCGCAACCCTCAGCACTGGCCCAGGTGAGAGGTGGGGAGGTATGGGGTAGTGTTATGTGCGCGCAAAGACTCCACCATGCGGTGGAAAGGAAGGGGAGTGGCGCGTGTGCTAAGGTACCACAGTGCCCGTGAGCCCGTACCTGCTGCACCGCAACCCTCAGCACTGCCCCAGGTGAGAGGTGGGGAGGTGAGAAGCATGGGGGGTCATGTGGTGTGGTGCAAGGTATGGTGGGCCACTGCTGTCCCTCCAGCCTGCAATGACCCTCCCTCCACCCACTTTGACCCCACCTGCTCCTTCTTCCCCCGTCTCTCTTCCCTCCTCCCCTCTCCCCAGAGCTCTCACCTCTGGAGGAGACGCCCTTCCCCTGCAGACAATCCCGCCTACTGGCCGTTCGGAGGGGGTCCCAGGAACTGCATCGGCATGGGCTTTGCGCTGCTCGAAGCCTCCCTCGTCCTCGCCCGCATCCTCCAGTCCTTCTCCCTTCTCACTTCCCCTCCCCTTCCTCATCTCGTCTTTCCCCCCTTTCTTTCCCCCTCCCCTCCCCCCCCCCCCCCAGAGCTCTCACCTTTGACCCATCGCGCTGGCTACCCGGGGGGGACGCCCTCCCGCCAGCCGACAACCCAGCCTACTGGCCGTTCGGAGGGGGGCCCAGGAACTGCATCGGCATGGGCTTCGCACTGCTCGAAGCCTCCCTCGTCCTCGCCCGCATTCTCCAGTCCTTCTCCCTCTCTCTCCCTTCGGGCTCTCCCGCTCCTGTGCCCCGCGCCATGATCACCCTGCGACCCGCTGGGGAGGTCAATCTGCTGCTCACACCGCTTGCTTCCCACCCACAAGAAGGAGACATGCCTGAGTCTGGTTCTGCTGGGACAGCAGGGCCAGCAGCAGCGGAACCTGCTGGAACAGCAGCAGCAGCAGCAGCAGCAACAGCAGAATCACCGGCACCACCAGCAGCAGCAGCAGCGCCAGCAGCAGCAGTAGCACCACCACCACCACCACCAACACAAGCGTCGCCAGCAGCAGCAGTAGATGCAGCTAACAACGGTATAGCTCGCAGCAAGGGTTTAGGTGGGAAGGCAGGGACGACTGCTGCATCAAATTAATTGACTGGTGGTGACTGGTGGTGACTGGTGGTGACTGGTGGTGACTGGTGGTGACTGGTGGTGACTGGTGGGGACTGGTGGTGACTGGTGGTGACTGGTGGTGACTGGTGGGGACTGGTGGTGACTGGTGGTGACTGGTGGGGACTGGTGGTGACTGGTGGTGACTGGTGGTGACTGGTGGTGACTGGTGGTGACTGGTGGTGACTGGTGGTGACTGGTGGTGACTGGTGGTGACTGGTGGTGACTGGTGGTGATTGGTGGTGACTGGTGGTGACTGGTGGTGACTGGTGGTGATTGGTGGTGACTGGTGGTGACTGGTGGTGACTGGTGGGGACTGGTGGTGACTGGTGGTGACTGGTGGTGACTGGTGGGGACTGGTGGTGACTGGTGGTGACTGGTGGGGACTGGTGGTGACTGGTGGTGACTGGTGGTGACTGGTGGTGACTGGTGGTGACTGGTGGTGACTGGTGGTGATTGGTGGTGACTGGTGGTGACTGGTGGTGACTGGTGGTGATTGGTGGTGACTGGTGGTGACTGGTGGTGACTGGTGGTGACTGGCGGCGACTGGTGGTGACTGGCGGCGACTGTTAGCACACCTTCGATGCCCTCACTTTGTTTCGCACCCGCTAACATGCGTGGAAAAATGAGAGGGCTACAAGGTATGCATAATTCATTGGCACACTGGCTTTACAGTGTGCTCTATCTCTATAACTCAGGAGGGATATCAATTCGAGTCGACTAAAAAATAGACTCAGCATTCATAGGTAGGCCCGTAACCATGGGATGTGCTGCGCACATGTACAGTAGGATTGCTGTACTAATGCACTAAAGAATTGTCATCTTCCCATTCATTGGATAGACACCATTACTGAAGGAAACTTATGAGCTGTCTCAAAAGTAGATGCCCCCATCGGAAAAAACCTGGAGAGAGAATGATTGTACAGAAGAGATTGTTACATGGGTTGCCGCATGGCATGGGTTTGCTGGCTCTGCTGCTGCTGCATCACAGAGTGCACAGTGATTCCCGGCACATGGAACCCCCAGCTGCCCTGCACCCTCATCAAACACGCATTGCTCCGTGATACCAGCAGTAACCGCGACTCTCCAAACAAGTCTTGATATATAACTATATGCAAGGTTGGTGTTACATGGTTTGGCGCATGGCATGGGCTTGCTGGTCCTGCTGCTGCTGCATCACAGAGTGCACAGTGATTCCCGGCACATGGAACCCCCAGCTGCCCTGCACCCTCATCACACACGCATTGCTCCGTGATACCAGCAGTAACCGCGACTCTCCAAACAAGTCTTGATATATAACTATATGCAAGGTTGGTGTTACATGGTTTGGCGCATGGCATGGGCTTGCTGGTCCTGCTGCTGCTGCATCACAGAGTGCACAGTGATTCCCGGCACATGGAACCCCCAGCTGCCCTGCACTCTCATCACACACGCATTGCTCCGTGATACCAGCAGTAACCGCGACTCCCCAAACAAGTCTTGATATATAACTATATGCAAGGTTGGTGTTACATGGTTTGGCGCATGGCATGGGTTCGCTTGCTCCGTGATACCAGCAGTAACCGCGACTCCCCAAACAAGTCTTGATATATAACTATATGCAAGGTTGGTGTTACATGGTTTGGCGCATGGCATGGGTTCGCTGGTCCTGCTGCTGCTGCATCACAGAGTGCACTGTGATTCCCAGCACATGGAACCCCCAGCTGCCCTGCACTCTCATCACACACGCATTGCTCCGTGATACCAGCAGTAACCGCGACTCCCCAAACAAGTCTTGATATATAACTATATGCAAGGTTGGTGTTACATGGTTTGGCGCATGGCATGGGTTCGCTGGTCCTGCTGCTGCTGCATCACAGAGTGCACTGTGATTCCCAGCACATGGAACCCCCAGCTGCCCTGCACTCTCATCACACACGCATTGCTCCGTGATACCAGCAGTAACCGCGACTCCCTCACAGGGACAGGTGATGCGCTGAGTGCGGTTACCACCACTCCTGTGCACTTGCAATTTTCCACGCACTGTAGCTTGCCGGATATATAAGACCCGTTTGCGTGCGCGAGGTAGGACATTTCAAGGACAGTTGGGATTGTTGTGAGCTGGATCGGCTGCACGTTGCTTGTATCGGAAATTGTTGTGAAGGGGATGGCAGTATTGAGTACGAATTCCACCCACGAATCTGCCGTAGGGAGGCACAGGGGAAGCAGAACCACTGGTGAGTTTCATTTGCAGATGGAATTCGAAATTACAGCGAGTTAGACAGCAACCCTGGTTATGAGACGGGATCAAGAACAGCCCACAACAAACGATCCAGCCCACAATGAACAGCCCAGATGGGAGAAAAAATCACCAAGCACAGTGGAGATTTCTTTCTCCCCTGCCCTGCACCACTCACCATCGACCTGTGCCACCAGTCCTGGTTGACCCCTTCCCTCCGTTCCATGCACCGGCCCAATGCCCTGCAGGGCGAAGCCTTGAAAGGCCCAGCACGGGCGGGGCGACGGCGCCGGGACGGAAGGAGAAGCAGGCGTGCGGGAGGGCAGGGCAGAGGAAGGCAGAGGCGGCAGGAACGTGCAGCCAGCGGGAGAAGAAGGGCGGTGGAGGAGTGAGGTGGCGCCCAGGTTCCTCTCAACGCACAACCCCTTTCACACTAAAACCCTCGCTTCCTTGCCACTCACCACCGCCCTGCACCACTCACCATCGTCCTGAGCCACCAGTCCTGGTCGACCGCTCCCCTCCGTTCCATGCACTGACCCACCCCCCTGCAGGGCGAACCCTTGCAGGCCCAGCACAGGTGGGGCGACGGCACTGGGACGGAAGGAGAAGCAGGCGTGGGGGAGGGCGGGGCGGAGGAAGGCGGAAGCAGCAGTGGAGTGCAGCCAGCGGGAGAAGAAGGGGGGGGGGAGGGCGCAGCAGGAAGGGCAGGAGGGAGAGTGTGTCGTTCTCCTCATGGATCTCTGTCAGTCGGTCCATGAGACCTGTGGGCGTGGAGGGGAAATCATTGGGGAGATCAATGGGAGAGACTTGAGAGGGTGAAAGGCGGGGGCGGTGACGGAGTGGATCCAGCGGGAGAAGAAGGGCGGTGGGGGGCGCAGCAGACAGGGCAGGAGGGAGAGCGTGTCGTTCTCCTCATGGATCTCTGTCAGTCGGTCCATGAGACCTGTGGGCATGGAGGAGAGGTCACAGAGAGAGTAAGGAGGTTGGAAAGGGGGGCGACAGGAGGGAGAGAGTGGCATTGTCCTCATGGATCTATGTAAGCCAGTCGATGAGACATGTGCGTGTGAAGGGCCTATTTTTGAGTCGACTCTATTTTTGAGCCTATTTTTGAGTCGACTCTATTTTTGAGCCTATTTTTGAGTCGACTAAAAAATGAGACATGTGCGTGTGAAGGGGAGATAATTGGGGAGATCAATGGGAGAGGGGGTGGAAGGCGGAGGCGGCAGTGGAGTGGATCCAGCAGGAGAAGAAGGGTGGCGGGGGGCGCAGCAGGGAGGGCAGGAGGGCGGCTGTGTTGTTGTCTGAGTGGATTTCTGTCAGCTGGTCAATCAGGCCTGTGGGGTGGGGTGTGGAGGGGAGGGGACTGGGTGAGGTGAGCAAACCAAAAGCGTTCCGTCACCAATCGGTCTCCTGGAGAAGTGGGGTATCGATCCCCATACCTCTCGCATGCTAAGCGAGCGCTCTACCATCTGAGCTACATCCCCATGATGGAGAAGATTAAGTGGTAATTTTAATCGTCCAGGAGACGTATGCTGCTAACCAGGTAGTAAAGAAAAGCTGCTAACCAGGCGCATGTCTGTGAGTGCGGTGACTTTTAAGTCCGACTCAAAAGCCATGATTGAAAGATGCTGAGAGCAGGCCGACTTGCCTGTGAGCGCAGAGTGGAAGAGAGCGGTGATGACGTCAGCATACTTGGTCCTCGCTTGCTCTGCCGTGGGCAAGGCTCCAGCCAGTGCAAGCGGCTCAACAGGGTCAACAGGGTCAATGGAGTCAGCAGGCCCACTTCCAGCACCACCACCAGCAGCAGTGCCGTAAGAATCATCGGCGGTGTCAGGAGCAACTGCAGCGGGAGGAATGGCGGAGGCGAGGGAGTCTGGCTCCACGTGCAGTGGAAGGTTGGAGGGACCTGTGGTGGCTATGTCCTTCAAGCGATAGCCTGATGCCTGTGGTGTGATGCAGGGGAGGGGGAGGGGGTGAAGGGAGGGAATTTGGGATGAGTTTGCGGGTTTGGTTGATAGCAGCAGCAGGAGAGGCAGAGGCGCGGGAGTGTGGCTCCACGTGCAGTGGGAGGTTGGCGGGGACTGTCGGGACCACGACCTTCAAGCGATCGCCGGCCTTCAAGCGTGCCCGGGTCTGAGACGACCTCTGGTCGCCTGGTGGGGGTAGTTTAATGAGGTGCCTCAAAGAAGTTTTTTGAGGTGATTTTTAAGTGATTTTTAGGCGATCTTTGAGGCGATTTTTTAGGCGATTTTCTAGGAGATTTTTTAGGCACTTCAAAAATCGGGGTTTGAGACGACCTCTGCTCGCCTGGTGGGGGTAGGCAGGATGATGGGATGGCGGGGAGGTGGCCTTGTGGAGTGGCGTGGCGGGAGGGACCAGTAGAGAGAAACGCACGTACCTGGTAACCCAGGAGGGTGCAGTAGAAAGCATCTCGGGTGGAGAGCACTGGAAGGCTGTAATACTGCGCGAGCACTGTTGCATTGTCCTCTGAGACAGTCTCTGGCGCCAAGTGGGGGTGGGGATGGTGGTGGGGTGGTGGGGAGGGAACGTGCCCTTACCTGCTGACCCAGCAGGGTGTAGAAAGCATCTCGGGTGGAGAGCACTGGAAGGCTGTAATACTGCGCGAGCACTGTTATGTTGTCCTCTGAGACAGTCTCTGGCGCCGAGTGGGGGTAGGCAGGGTGGTGGGGCGGCAGGCCAAAGGAGAATGGACCCACGTCCGAGAAGGAGAGAGATGGGTCCTGCATGGGAGAGGGTGGGGACGAAGGGGGAGAGACAGCGAAAGAGGGGAGGAGAGAGGGTGGAGGGGTGGCAGGCCAAAGGAGGACAGACCCACGTCCGAGAAGGAGAGAGATGGGTCCTGCATGGTGGGGGATGGAGATGGGGAGGGAAGGGGAGAGACGGGGAAGAGAGGGGAAGGGAGGGGATGACGGGCGTTGAAAGGAAGGAGAATGGGCCCACGTCAGTGAGGGAGAGAGACGGGTCCTGCATGGTGGAGTTTCGAGGCGCCTCAAAACGACTTTTGACTTTTGAGGCGCCTCAAAGGAAGGGAGGGGATGACGGGCGTTAGAAGGAAGGAGAAAGGGCCCACGTGAGTGAGGGAGAGAGACATCAGTGAACGGGTCCTGCATGTCTATCTTTTGCTTTAAGCCCGACTAAGTTTGCTACTCGCTGAAAAATTATGTCACAAGGCCCACGTGAGTGAGTGAGAGAGACATCAGTGAACGGGTCCTGCATGGTGGAGGGAGGGGAGGAAGAGTTTTGAGTCGACTCAAAACTCAACTCACTACACATGGGCCCACGTCAGTGGAGGAGTGAGACATCAGTGAACGGGTCCTGCATGGTGGAGGGAGGGGAGGAAGGCGCACGGAGGAAGAGGAAGTGAGGGATTCCTGAGTCAACTCGACAACTACCAAAGGATAAGGGATTGCAGGAAACAAACTTCACTCCTAGCACCTCTTGCTCCCACCCCACCCCACACTCCTCTTGCTCCCACCCCACCCCACACTCCTCTTGCTCCCACCCCACCCCACACTCCTCTTGCTCCCACCCCACCCCACACTCCTCTTGCTCCCACCCCACCCCACACTCCTCTTGCTCCCACCCCACCCCACACTCCTCTTGCTCCCACCCCACCCCACACTCCTCTTGCTCCCACCCCACCCCACACTCCTCTTGCTCCCACCCCACCCCACACTCCTCTTGCTCCCACCCCACCCCACACTCCTCTTGCTCCCACCCCACCCCACACTCCTCTTGCTCCCACCCCACCCCACACTCCTCTTGCTCCCACCCCACCCCACACTCCTCTTGCTCCCACCATCTCAAATGCATGCACCTCTGAGTGCGCTTCTGAGTCCGTGCCTGTACGCACCTCTGCCTCTCTGCACGCCCAGTTGCCTGTACGCCCAGTTGCCATGGCAGAAATAAAAAAAGTTCACCATCACCACCGCTACCCCTGCTGCTGCCTTCACTCCATCCAACCCTCCTTCCTTCCCCTCCACCCCTTTCTCCCCTTGCCGCATCTGAGGTGGGCCTGGAAGCGACTTAATCCCCCCCCAGCGCAGCAGAAGGTGCTGCAGTATAGTATCGTACATTTGCAGGAAGGACGCCCGGCCCTCCCCCTTGATCCCACCCCACGCACCTCAGATACACGCACCTCTGATACACGCACCTCAGATACACGAACCTCAGATACACGCACCTCAGATACACGCACCTCTGCCTCTCGGCACGCCCGGTTGCCACGGCAGAAGGAGAAGAAATTCACCAGCACCACCGCTGCCCCTGCCACCGCCTTCACTCCATCCAACCCCCCTTCCTTCCCCTCCCGCCCTTGCCGCATCTGGGGTGGGGTTTGCGGCGACCCACCCCCCCAGCGCAGCAGCAGGTGCTGCAGTATGGTATCGTACATCTGTAGGAAGGATGCTGGACCCTGCCCTTTGGCCTCTCCCTGGTCGGACAGTGCCAGCTCAGCGATGACCAGATCCATGTCATCAGGCAGGGACTGCAGAAAGGTGGCTCTGAGATGGATTGTGGAAAGGGGGGCGTTTAGGGGTTGGTGGCGGGAGGAGAGGGTGAACGGCGGATGGGAGAGGAGAAAAGGGGGATGGGTGAGGAAGAAAGGGAGTTTCTTACTGCGCACACATGCGCATACACACAGGCACAGTCCCAACCCAACAACAAACGCCCCAGAAACACGATGCTGACTCACCCGTCACAGGACGCCCACGTGGCAAGGCTGCCACGTGGCAGGCCCAGGTTGATGAGCCAATAGGGCTCCGCCACCACGGCGCTCTCTGATTGGCCGGGCACACGCCACTGCTTGAGGTGGCGGGGAGGGAAGGCGCGGACGAGATTGTCGAGAGCAGAGGCGAGCCAACCTTGCTGTGGGGAGTGGCTGTTAAGGAGGGGTGGGAGACGAGGGACAGGGGAATGGGAGATGGACGGGAGTGGAAGCAGGGTCGAGACTGCTTGAGGTGGCGGGGAAGGAAGGCACGGATGAGATTGTCGAGAGCAGAGGCGAGCCAACCTTGCTGTGGGGAGTGGCTGTTAAGGAGGGGTGGGAGACGAGGGACAGGGGAATGGGAGATGGACGGGAGTGGAAGCAGGGTCGAGACTGCTTGAGGTGGCGGGGAAGGAAGGCACGGATGAGATTGTCGAGAGCAGAGGCGAGCCAACCTTGCTGTGGGGAGTGGCTGTTAAGGAGGGGTGGGAGACGAGGGACAGGGGAATGGGAGATGGACGGGAGTGGAAGCAGGGTCGAGACTGCTTGAGGTGGCGGGGAAGGAAGGCACGGATGAGATTGTCGAGAGCAGAGGCGAGCCAACCTTGCTGTGGGGAGTGGCTGTTAAGGAGGGGTGGGAGACGAGGGACAGGGGAATGGGAGATGGACGGGAGTGGAAGCAGGGTCGAGACTGCTTGAGGTGGCGGGGAAGGAAGGCACGGATGAGATTGTCGAGAGCAGCAGCGAGCCAACCTTGCTGTGGGGAATGACTGTGTGGGGGCGGGGTAAGTGAGGGGGGAGGAAGGCGGAACGGCAGGGGGTAGTGAGTGCTTGAGGTGGCGGGGAGGGAAGGCGCAGATGAGAGTGTCGAGAGCAGAGTAAAGCCAACCCTGTATTGGGGAGTGACTGTAACGGGGGAACGGCGGGGGGGGGGGGCGGCGGGGAGAGGAAAAGGATGGGGGGAGCGGAAGGGAAAGGGCAGGTCGAGAGTGCTTGAGGTGGCGGGGAGGGAAGGCGCAGATGGGATTGTCGAGAGCAGCGGAAAGCCAGCCTACTGCTGGCGAGTGGCTGTGTATGGGAGGGGAAGGAAGGGAGACGGGGGGGAAGGGGGAACTTGGGGGGGGAGGGGGAGGGGGTGGGGGGGGAGTTGCGGTGAAGAAGGGGAGGGGTAGGGGGGAAGAGGAGGGGGAGGTGCGCCCCAATGAGCCCTGCTGTGTGTCCGAGTCACATATACAAGCTCCTCTCCACCTCATTACCTCACAACCTCATTACCTCACAACCTCATTACCTCACCACCTCATTACCTCACCACCTCACCTCCGTTCCCCACTCGTCCCATACAGCCCCTGGTAACCTGGTTGAACATCACCGGCTGCAGTCCCCTGCATCCTGCAGAGGGATGATAATCACTGCGCCGTGATCCCTCCCCCCCCAAGCTTCCCCAGTTTCCCCTACTCCCCCTGCCCCCCTACCGTCCGGGCCTCCCCTGCCTCTCACCACTCTCTCCACTCGTCCCATACAGCCCCTGGTTGAACATCACCGGCTGTGGCCCCCCGTGCCCCGCAGAGAGGGCGGAAACTCACTGGTTTTTTAGGCGCCTCAAAAGCCCCCCCCTGTGCCCCGCAGAGAGGGCGGAAACTCACTGGTTCCATCATCCCTCCCTACCTAACTACTCCCCCCAACTTCCCTGTCCCTCACCTCCGCCCCCCCGTCGTCCCATACAGCCCCTGGTTGAACATCACTGGCTGTGGGCCCCTGTGCCCCGGAAAAGAAGAAGGCCACTGGCGCCGTGATGCCTATCCCCCTGCTCCCCCGACTCCCCATATCCCTCTTACTTCCCCAGCCTCCCTGTCCCTCACCTCCTCTCCCCCGTTGTCCCATACAGCCCCTGGTTGAACATCACTGGCTGCGGCCCCCTGTGCCCCGCAGAGAGGAAGGTCACTGGCCCGCCCACCACCGCCACCGTCACTGGCAGCCGCTGCACCACCAGCTGGAAGGAGGAGGGGAAGGAAGGAGGGGTGGGGGGGTAGGGGGGGAAAGGGAGTGGGGAGGGTGCGGGCTTGTTTATGGTATTGAATTAAAAAGCAGCCTGACTAATCTTCAGTGGAAGCAGCATGATCATCTCCACGGGCTGCGTTCACAACTCACAATACAGATGCTTTCCTCGCATTCTCTATGAGCACACCTTGTACAGGAACATGTCCAGTCGCAGCATATCCCCTTTATAAGACACCGCGCGCCTCAGAGCCGCGGCCGGCAAATGCGGCTGCCACTGGAGCGCATCTGCAAGATCGCACGGCAGAGACTGGCTCGCTCTCGACCAATCAAACTCGTCCACATCAGCAGCAGCATTCTGGCCACCGTTCCCTACGGAAACGGGCTGCAAACCGCCTTCGAGAGTTCCGCTGGGAAATAAACCCTTCCCTAACGGAGATCCCGATGAATTCGTCAAAACCCGATTCGTCAAATCCGATCCCTGTGCGCTCCACCTTCCTGAATTGAGGAAATCCGCCTGGAAGATGTTTTTTGGTGCGTTTGCCAGGCCAGCCGTGTTCGCTGAGACTGAATCAAGGTTGCCAGTGCCGAAGCTACTTCGCGTGTTTGGCGGAGAGGTGGAAGGAGAGGAGGTGGAGGTGGAGGAGGAGGAGAGGAGACCGCTGAGGAACGCAAACCAAACGATAACGATCGCGAGCAGTGCTAGTAGGGAGACGACTAGCCGGCTAGAGCCCCGCATCGGCCGCATGGCCGGCAACTAATGGGACGGGAGTAATGGGAACGTGATTGCTGACGAGCTCAATTGAATTTTGAGTAGGAATTGACCAGCGTTGTAGGATGTGGTTGCATTCCTTTCTGATTTCTGTAACATCTAATGGGTAAAATTTCTGAAACGGTTAGTATCTTGTCGTCGGATCAACCCCATAAGCCGTATGAGTTCAAATCTTTCGCTTACGTGGTTGCTGGTGGGATGCCGTGGAAAGCTCGCTTCCCGCTTCCTCACTGGACTGCAATTTTCTGCTCGCGCAGTCGTGGCTCTCGTGGCTCGTTTTCTCACTCGCCATATCAGCATGTCCACGCTGGCAAGATGAGGCTTGCAGGGTCTCCTTTGCTCCGCGTTGACTGACAATCAATGGTACGATTTTCCAGGCGTGCGCGGCTCGGGCCACGTTTCCTTTTCCCCCAAAACACTTTACATCGCGACTCGCTGACTAATACCAGTATGAACCATGCCGAACCCCATCAATTCTTACTGAACCCTCTCGAACCATGTCAAACCTGTATATACGGACGCTTTCGCTACACTGCCTCTCGCAGCAGCACAGCAGCAAGGCAGCGACAATACTTGGATCACTCAGAATGGATCGCCTTTGTCGTGTTCGCCTCACTTGTTCCCAAACCAATTCGCCTCACTCATTAGAGATTAGCCGACTCTACGCCACCAATGGCCGCGTCCGCCGTTGCCGCGAGTTCCCTGAGCGCCTCCCACAGCGCATCCTTCGTTGTCGCCTCGACGCTCGGATCGGAGGTGCACTCGTCATCACCGCTGAAACGCCACGTGTCCTCCATTCCCGGAGTCCGTAGACGAAACGCGGCTCTCGCGATTCGTGCTCAGATCAATGGTGAAGACTGGCCAAGTGCGTCCACGTGTCACCTTCATTTTTTTCGTTGAATGAGTTGACCGAGTTTACCGAATTGATCGTCTGTGACAGTGCAATGCACCAGCCCTTTCTAGTAACTACATCACCCCTGTCTTGAAATGGGTAAAAACGATTTCTCGGCCGGTGACGTCTCATCAAGGAAGTTTACCCTGTCCAGGGTCCTGGATTCGCACATTCTTCCATCGAATTGCTTCTTACGCCGCGTTTTCTTGTATCGCGTATGGCAGGACACGCAGCGCAATCCGGAGCGAAGCTGCTCGCAGCGGCGGCGATCGCGGGCTCTCTCGCGCTCGGCGCCGTCGGGCTGCCGCCAGACGCGGCGCAAGCGGCGCTGAACCGCTTCGAGGCGGAGACGCGCGGCGAGTTCGGCATCGGCTCCGCCGCTCAATACGGCTCCGCGGACCTAAGGTAAAGCATCTAATTGCCATACTTAGAACTTGCGTCGCGGATTCAAAATTATTCTGCCATGTGTGTTGTCCTACAAGAAAAACAAATCAGCAATAACATTTCAACCTTTACCTTTCCTATCTACCCCATTTCCATCCCCCCCCTTCCCCCCCCTCTCCCCTCCCTCTTTCCGCGCGGCGGAGCAGGAAGACGGTGCACCGCAACGAGAACTTCCGGCGCGCCAACTTCACGTCGGCGGACATGCGCGAGGCGGACTTCAGCGGAAGCGTGTTCGCGGGGGGGTACCTTGAGAAAGCCGTTGCTTACCGCACCAACTTCGAGGGTGGGTTTAACACGAGCATTGATAGGTATCGAGGGCGGAACAGTCCTTCGAGGGTTCATCATGTAATAACAACCCTCGAAGTCTTTCTATGACACACGCATTAATGGGTATCATGCAATGCCAGCCTCCTCTTCCTCTTTCGATAACTTCCTTCGATCTCGCTCCTCTCATCATGTCTCTCAGTTTCCGTTCCCCCTCTGCTCTCCTCCCCTTCGTCCCCTCTTCCCCTCCCCCTCCCCTCCCCCTCCCCTCCCCCTGCTTGGTCATCCAGGAGCGGATTTCACAGATGCGCTCATGGATAGAATGGTGAGTCGTGCCCTCGTAATCCTTGCGGTACAGTTACCATTCATGCTGCCGGTACAGTTACCACTCATGCTGGGTAAATATCTCGAGAGCCTCAGGCATCCCTCGTCGGTTGTGGCGGTGTGCTGGGTGAAATCTAGTACAGCTCGCAGTGAGTTGCTCACTGACGATCTTCAAATGACAATGGTCGTCATAGGCCACAACAATGCCTAGTCCCGCGTCGTTACTCTTTACATGCTCCTGGTATTGACGCTCCTGTCAGGTGCTGAACGAGGCGAATCTGACAGACGCAGTGCTGCTGCGCGTGGTGCTCACTCGCTCCGACCTGGGAGGGGCCATCGTGGACGGCGCTGACTTCAGTGACGCCATTCTCGACCTGCCGCAGAAACAGGTATGTCTGGTAGTGGCTCTTAGGGGGAGGACTGGGGGGGGATGAGGGTAGGAGGGTAGCCTCGTGACTATCTTCTCGTGGACGGCGTTGACTTCAGCGATGCCATTGTTTTTGTATTCCTGGCAATCCCCGCATACATGTAACACCTCCCACTACTCCCCCCCATCCCCTTCCCCGTCAGGATGCACTGTGCAAGAACACCAGATCTACTCTACGTCATTACCCGATCCCCGCCTATTAAACACTCCCCCCCACCACCACCCACCTCTTTCTCCTTCAACAGGCCCTATGCAAGTACGCCAAGGGGGAGAATCCAGTGACAGGCATGGACACACGGAGGAGCCTTGGATGTGGTAACCGCAGGGGCAATGCATATGGCTCACCATCATCCCCTTTATTGAGCGATGCCCCGAAAAAGTTTCTATCCAAAGATGGATTCTGTGACGATACTTCGGGCTTGTGCAATGCTTCCATGTAATGTAACTGCTTAAGAGTAAAATCCAGCAGCTGGTGCAAGAAAAACTCAACCACAATTTCCCTTTAAAATAGTGAAAGGTCTAATAGCAACAGTAATGGTGTAAAACAACTTTTACCATATTTGAAATATGGATTGTATAGTAGTCAGTCCGTCCCAAGTGGGCATTTGTTACGAGTGCAGTTGAGCAATCGAACGAAGATTGCACTATCAAGACAAGAATACAATGAACGAAGAATTGGGCGAAGAATATATAACGAATCTACAGTGGTAACAGTAACGTGTGGGAAGTGCGGTGCGCGACCGGCCCGGTGCCGAGGTTGGGGAACTGTCGAGGCGGAGCTCCGGAGCGCGGGTTACCAACCGAACCGTGAGGTTGGGTCGCATCGTGAACAGTGGCGGGAATGGGATCGAGGCGAATGTCGCGAGTGGTAACGGGATATTGTGGGGTGCTGTTGGCGGGAACAGTGGTGTACGCGCTGAGCAGGGACGCGAAGTAAGGAAAATAGATTTTCCTTACACTACCCTCCCCCTTAAGGAGGCCTCTCTTACGAGAGCGCGTGTATATCCCGGAAGTTCTGGCTGCGCAGATACTCGGTGAGGACGGGGTGGTTTTCGATTTTGTTCAGTGGGACCCAACTGTCCTCGGTGGGCGTGCGTTCTCTCCAGCGTATTAGAAATTCGACTCTTCGAGCTCCTCGTGGGTCGCGAACTCGGTGGCTCAGAATCTTTTCGGGCGTGATGACTGGTTCGGTCGGTGGTCTTGTCATGCTGGCTGGGCGATTTCGGGCCAGTTGGCTGGTGGATGGAATGTAGGGGCGAAGCAGGCTGACGTGGAAGGATGGGCTGACGTACCAGTCAGCAGGGAGGAGGAGGTGGGCGGTGACAGGTGTGATCATGTGGCTGATGCGGAATGGCCCGCAATATCGGGGGCGGAGTTTTGGAGTTATGGGCAGGCGGAGGTTTTGGGTGTCGAGTAGAACTAAGTTGTCGGGCTGGTAAGTGACGGGTCTGCGGTGGCGGTCGGCGTTGCGTTTAGCGATAACGTTGGCTTTTTTTATTGCCTCTACTGCCCTGGTTCGTGCCTCCTGTAGAACTTATGCGAACTGTTGCGCACGTGGCACTGGATTGTCGGGGTTCGGGGTCATGGGTACTGTAGGGTCTTGTCCGTAGTTCAGGTAAAATGGTGACTGTTGGGTCGAGGCGGATGGTGAGTTGTTGTACGCGAATTCGATTAGTGGCAGCTGCTGTTCCCAGGTGGTGGGGTCGTCGCACGTGGCTCGGATTAACTGTTCCATGGTCTGATTTGTCCGTTCTGTCTGTCCGTCGGTTTCGGGGTGATACGAAGAGCTGAATTGTAGCCTCGTGCCGAACTGCTGCCACAGGTTCCGCAAGAAATTGCTGGTGAATTTCGTATCGCGATCGCTGATGATTGCTGCTGGTATCCCGTGTAACCGAATGATGGTTGCGATGAAGAGGCGGGTCGTTTCTTAGGCTGTGATTGTTGTTTTTGCAGGCTGCGAAATGTGCCATTTTCGTCAGCCGATCGACGACGACCAGGATCGCGTCGTTCCCACTTGCACCCGCTGGTAACCCCGTGACGAAGTCCATCGTCACCTGCTGCCAAGCACGCTCTGGGGGTGGTATCGGCTGCAACTGTCCCGCCGGTCGCTTTCGTGATGACTTCATGACTTGGCAGGTGGGACAGGATGCCACGTGACGCTGCACGTCGGTCAGCATTTCGGGCCAGTAGTAGTACCGCTGCAGCTGCTGCCGTGTTTTTTCTACTCCGAAATGTCCTGAGGTGACTCCGTCGTGTGCCTCTTGCAATAGTAACTCCCGTAGGAGCGTGTAGCCCGGTACCCAGATGCGATCGGTGCCCGCTTTTACGTAATAGACCCCTCTTGCTGTTGCAAATTGCTGCGAATTTCCGCCTGTAAAGAATGGGTCAGTCTGGTAACCGTGGGTAAATAGGCCTGTCAGTAGGGGGCTGGTCTGGGCGAGTAGTATGGCGTGGAGTTGGGCTGTGGGCCGTGTTAACGCGTCGGCGATGTTCGATGCCCCTTTTTTGTAGGTGACCGTGTAGTGAAAATTCGACTCGAGGTAGTCGAGCCAGCGGATTTGTCATGGGTTGAGGTGGGGTTGCGCGCGGAGGTACTGTAGAGATTTGTGGTCTGTCCGTACTGTCACGTCGGCGCCGGTCAAGTAACAGCGCCACACTTTGAACGCATGCACGATCGCAAGCATTTCGCGATCGTGTATCGGGTAATTCTTCTCAGGCGGATGCAACTTTCGTGATTCGTATGCGATGGGCTGTAAACCGTTGCCGAAGTCCTGTAGCAGTACGGCTCCAATGGCGATGTCGCTTACGTCGGTAATGTCATAATGTATTTACTGTTTAGCCTGCAGTGGGGTACTCTGTAGTGAGTACAACCCAATTTAGGGTTTGCTATTTGTATCCCAACTTTCTATAGTGAAACCCCTCATTCCTCCTCCTCGACTTTTCCTCACCCAAAACTCTCTCGACACTAATGCCCTGAACCCAAGCCATGGTTCCTAAGTCTCGCTAGGATTCTAACAGGTAACCACTTCGAATGGGCGGTGTGGGTCGGCGATGCGCAGTACGGGTGGTGAACAGAGAACATTTTTCAGGGTAGAGAAGGCAACATGCTCTTTCTCCCCCCACGTAAAAGTGACCCCCTTCCGCAGTAAGTCTGTCAGTGGGGCAGTTAAGCGTGCCATGTCGGGGACGAACCAACGCACGTAATTTACGAATCCCAAAAAACTCTGCAGCTCCGTGATGTTTGTCGGGGGGTGCCACGCTTTTACCGTGTCCAGTTTCTTCGGGTCGATTTCCACTCCAGCCTCTGAAATAACGTGCCCCAAAAACTCCAAACTATCCTGGAAGAATTCGCACTTGGAACCCTTGGTCAGTAGTCTGTGTTTGTCTAAAACTGTAAATACCGCGTCTAAATCGGCTAAGTGCTGCTGCTTGTCGCGACTGTAGACGAGGATGTCGTCGAGGTAGATGATCACACATTTATCTAAAAGTGGCCTAAACGCCTCGTTCATGGTCATCTGAAAAGTCGCCGGTGCGTTGGTCAACCCGAAAGGCATCACTGTGTACTCAAATGATCCGTACCTAGTCCTAAACGCTGTCTTTGCGCAGTCCGGCGGTTCGACCTGAATCTGATGGTAACCTTCCCGTAAGTCAATTTTCGAAAAGACTCGTGCTGTTTGCAGTTGATCTATCAGCTCGCCGGCGCGGGGGATGGGGTATCGCGATTTAACTGTAACCCTGTTCAGTGCTCGGTAGTCGATACACATGCGAAACCCCCCGTCCTTTTTCGGTGTGAACAGGATCGGTGCGGCGAATGGCGATGAGCTCGGTCGGATGAATTTTTTCTCTAACAGGTAATCTAACTGCTTCCATAGCTCGTCGAGCTCGGGCTGTGTCAGTCTGAACCGTCGCTGTACGGTTGGCTGTGCCCCGGGTTCTAATTCTATTTGGTGATCGTGTGCCCGCTGAGGTGGCAGACCCTCCGGTAAATCATCAGGGAAGATCCCCGGGAACCGTTTCAACAGCTCCTATAGCTCTGATGGTACTGCCGTCAGTAGTTTCTGAAAATCTCTCGGTTGATCTGCTTCTTCCACTATTGCGATATCCACCGCGTACACGTCAGCTCCAGCAGCGACAGCCCATTTCATCGTGGTGGCGTTGACGTGGGCCGTTGAAGACTCAGGCGACTGCCAGCGAGGTAGTTCCACCCAGTGACCGCTACTTCGCACAGTGCAGCTACCCGTCGTCTGTCAGGATCCCAACCACTAGACCATTGGGATAAAAGGGCTTGTTAAGTAGCGGGTGAGTGCGCCCATAACCCCCCAGGCGAACGCGCCTGTAACCCCCCTAGGATCAATCGGGCATCCACAGTGCAGATCTACTGACACCCCCCCACACTGGGAGGCCCAGGACTGAGCACAGCGGCAACGGCCTACATGTGCATACACCGGGATTCGAACCCGAGACAGCTCTGATACCATATCAAAATCCCAGTCACTAGACCACTGGGATAAAAGGGCTTGTTAAGTAGCGGGTCAGTGCGCCCATTGCCGACAACAAGGCTGCCATTGCCTTGTGTCAGGAGCACAGACTGGAGCACAGAACGAAGCACATCGCTCTACGTTACTTCCTTGCTCGAGAGCTGCAGCAGCGTGGCCAGCTTCGTCTTGCTTACGTGGCCACTCGGGCCAACACTGCTGATATATTCACCAAGGCGCTTCCGCCTGGTGATCATCAGCGTTTCTGCACTTTGTTAGGCCTTATTCCCACGCTTTCTCACTTGCTGTAGACTTTGTTTGTACTGTGATCTATATGTATACCTGCATGCTTGCTCTTGTAGGTAGATATCACTGTGCTGTTGTTGTTACACATATATCTTTGCTTGTGAACTGGCCTTGTGGCCTTTTGCTTGTGCTCAGACTGCGTGGTGACGTTGTGATCCACCCTGAGCTTGCTTTGCACTTCCTGCCTGGCCTTGTGACCCTCTGTTCTACCCCACTTTGCATATGGGGGGTGTTATGGGCGCACTGACCCGCTACTTAACAAGCCATTTTATCCCAATGGTCTAGTGGTTGGGATTCTGACATAGTATCAGAGCGAAGGTCTTGGGTTCGAATCCCAGTGTGTGCACTTCGGGCATCCCAGTGCGGGGGGGTGTCAGAGGTCCACTGGTGATCCCCGATTGATCCTAGGGAAGGGTTACAGG